CTGCAGTGACCCAATTACCTTCTGCAAGCAAGGCGGTTAGCTTTTATTGACACACAAATATATTCACCGGCATTATACATCTTGTTTTTAGGTGCTAATATTGACGTTACAACATGTTGATAAAATGTATGTGTGAACAGTTCAGCCATCAGAATTTTTCTCAATAATGAAGCCAATATGAGTTGCAATGAAAAATAAGTTGCAATGAAAAAGCCAGAAAATGCGTAAAACAGAAGGAATAGCTGGTAAAATCAACAAAATATATTGTACAATTAAGTCAGTCCAACCTTCGGGGCAGGGAACATTTCATTTTTTTCATAATTAAATTTTTTTCACATAATTTTTTTCATAATAATTAAATGTTTTCAGAGCTCGAAGAACCAATTGTGAAGGCCTTTCAACTCGATCTGAACACTTTGAAGCATTCGTCTCAAAAAATACATAGATTTTCAAATTGTCGCAAATCATTTGAGGCTAAATTTTTGCAGCCTAGAAAATAAGAATACAAAATTTTGGGGACAAAGGTATTGAGCTTTTCTGTAATTCATGGAACCGAGGTCATGCGGTTCGCTCTAACGACTTCATTTGAGAGTTCCAGGATCTCTTTAAAAAAATTTGTACTTTTGACTTCGACTGTCTAGGCCTGATCGCCTTCCTCCCTGCCAATTGAAGAACTGTCATTAGTTGTGATACATTACACCTGGACACGCACGACATTGTGGCAGCTTCTGTTTCTCGCAACTTCTGCCACTGGCAGTTTCTGTTTATGGCAGCTCCTGTTTCAGCAGCTTCTGTTACTGTGCCAGTAACAGTTTCTGTTCATGGCATTTCCTGTTTTCTGCAGCTTCCGTTTCTGACTGCTTCTATTAATGGCAATCTTTGTTTCTGTCTGTTTCTGTTCCAAGCAGTTTCTGTTTCAAAAGCGCTTACTCTTCGAGGACCGAAAATTTGGCGAACGAGAGCAAATTGATACGGCATCTGTTAAAATGTCAGTGAAAATCAGCAAAAAAATTTTCTTTTGACTCTTGAAATAGGAGCAAAAGAAGCATGAAATTTATCGGTTTCAAGACATATTTTGTGGTAAAAATATTTGGACTATCACATTATTTTGTCGCAGCCATGACTTTCTAAGATGGAGTAAGACAGAATCCTGAATTGGTCAATGTCACTTCCGTATTCATGTTATTATTGAAAATTCATGATTCGTTTTCGATATTCGGTTTTTTCATTATCTGATCTTACATGAATCGAAAATAAATGAAGTTGAGAAATAGTTTTAAGGCGGTAAGAGATTTGAATGCATTTGTTCCCTCCGAAACTAGGATAATGAAACCGAACATTTGAAACATTTTCTTATTTCCAACAGAGATACGTACTACGAAATTCAATATGACGTGGAATTCGTATAGGGGATTATACAAATTTCGAAGGTTTTTCCGTGTGCCGAGATAATATTTTTTACTGTACAATTATGACTCCATGATCGCTGTTTTCTTTCAGTAATTTATATAGCATTACTGTTTTCAATAATTGGTTAATTTGATAGTTGACGGTAATTGATAAAAACTAAAAACACGTGATCTCACAAAAAACGTGATTCAAATTTAAACAAAATGTAAGTAAGACTTTAATATCTACTTTTTATTAGTTGGGAGTTGCGATGATTCAGTTAATCGGTAGAGTAGAGAGAATATAGAAAAATGAGATATGAGATAACTGTATGAAAAAACTCTTGTATGAGAAAAACTCTTGTTTGAGGACATTGAAACAGTAGAGCGAAAATAGAAAAACTCTTATTCGAGAAAAACTCTTGTTTGAGGCCATTAAATCCTTAAAAAGTTTGACGCCTAAGCCAAGCTCGAGGCTTCAGCTTGCCGTGAAGGAGTTTATACCATTTTTTTAGCCAAAAGCATTTTTTGTGACAGTTTGACCGCGATTTTCGTGAATGAACTGTCATGCTCACTGTCAACACTGGTCCGTTGGCTCAGGTATAACAACTTCGAGACAATGTATTTTGGAAAATCTGGAAAAAATTAGAGCGCTTCTTATAATAAAATATAAATATAATTAAATCTATTAATTTGGAAAATTTAAAGGAATTGTATTCAATTTAGGACGAAGAAGAAACTATGCCTAACTCAGGCCAGTGCTGCGAGAAAAGTTGCAAAAATTCAAACCCTTAAGTAAGTTATACTCAATTTTTGCAATGAACTAATTGGAAATTCATAAATGGAAAAAGATTTATTTTGGATTGTCACGCGGTTCACTGAGCACAGGTTCTCTTGGGGAAATAATGCGTTTGACTGAGCGGTACTTCTCGCCAAAAATAATGCGTTTACTGTGCGGTTCTTCTTGCCAAAAAATACGTTTGACTGAACAGTTCTTGAGCCAAAAAAATGCGTTCGACTGAGCGGTTCTTCTGGCCAAAATAATGCGTTTGACTGAACGGTTCTTCTAGCCAAAAATAATGCGTTTGACTGAACGGTTCTTCTAGCCAAAAATAATGCTTGACTGAGCGGTTCTTCTAGCTGAAAATAATGCGTTTGACTGAGCGGTTCTTCTAGCCGAAAATAAAGCCCCAAAAAGCCCCATTGTGATGGCGCGGAAGCCTTTCAAGATCTCGTATCGATAAACGATTTAGAGAGATCGTTCATTTTTCCGCCATTGACGTGGACGAGTAAATCGTGGCAATAGATCCTGGAAAAAGATTGCCGAAGTCAATTTTCTTTGTTCTCGCTTCACGATGATGCGAAAAAAATACATTTAATGGGATTTTTACCAATAAGAACTGAATGATTTTTCAATATTTTAATCTTTAGCTATAAAAGTTTTAAGCTAGATTTGAGTTAGAGAAATTATCACATAGAGTTAGAATTCTGTTACTTCAAATTTAACCAGTGTAGATATTGCAGAGCCGGAAAAATATGCATATATATGTGCGTAGAGTTAAGGTAAATCGTTTAAAATCAAGTATTTTTAAATAAATAATGTGTCCGAGAAATCTATTCAAATTATATCACTTATTGTTTGCCAGTCTCGTTGATTGCAATCCAAAGAACTACTAATAAAATTCAGGTTGTTTACCAGCGTCAGATACAACCACGCAGTGTTTCTGATATTACAAATTTAAAGTACCTAATTAAGGTGATGCTAAACAAAGATAATGATAATACAAAGTTACAAATATAGCACAAGTTACACATATGGCACAAGTTACACATAAGGCACAAGTTACACATATGGCACAAGTTACACATATGGCACAAGTTACACATAAGGCACAAAGTTACAAATATAGCACAAGTTGCACATATGGCAATTACACATATGGCACAAGTTACTCATATGGCACAAGTTACACATATGGCACAAGTTACACACATGGCACAAGTTACTCATATGGCACAAGTTACAAGTTTCCTCGTGATGAGGAAGGCTGGATTCCGATTTGATTTATTTCTAGTTTATTTTACTTCTATTATTTCGTATCGATTGTTATTGGATATTATTAGAACAATTATGGGGAACAAGAAAACGAAATGAAACCTGCAAAAATTATTGTACAGTACATTTTGCTATTTTTAAAACACGAATCGGACTTCGAAGCAAGCGAGTTGAATATAAATAAATATACTATATTAAGAACAGCAATTTGTCAATCTTGAGAAAATAGGATTAGCAGAGTGAGAGTGTGGATTCAGATTTATTTTGGACATTTATTGAGTTAATTATTTACTTAGATTTATCTCAGAAATTTATTGAATTAACCATTTACTTATATTTTATAGTTAATCTAGATATTTCTTGAGTTAATAATTTATTGAGATTTATTTTCGTGATTTTAGACATTTATTGAGTCAAACCTACCCAACTTACTGAGTAAACGCATAATAAAAAATGAGCCTAAGTCGTAGCTTAATACTTAATAATTGGGCTTTTGTTATAATTTTTATGTTAAAATAGCGTAATAGTGTATTATTTTTTCGCTAATCTAATCATCTATTATCGCTATTACGTCGCTAGACTAACTTTAGGTATTATGGAGTTATTAAAAATTGTACAAAAGGTATCATCCCAGAGAAGCTTAAAATTACATAGATTTTAATTAAGATTCGTAGTTTAATGAAATGAGAATTTAAATGAGGATCAAATGCCTAAACTAAATGGTTTAAATTTGAAACATCGTTTAGCGCTCACGCTTTTTTTTGTGCTGACACTTTTCGATTCCGAATGAAAATACCAAAAATATGCCCAAATAAATTAGGCTATGCACATTAAATTAATTGCAGCCATGGGTTATTAATACAAAATAATTCGTAAAAGGGTTTTTATTTTTAAAGCACCTAACCGTGCAAAGAGACATAGCTCCACAGCGCTAAGCAAACTGCACTCATATACTTGAAACAAATTTCGAACGCGTTTAATTTTTGCCATAAAATATCGTTAGAATAATTGATAAACTTTAATTTTAATACAACTCTTTGAACTTACGCGCATATGCAGCCTTTTTTCAAAAACCCTTAGCCCTGAAATAATTTAGGGTTAAAACCCTTATTCATCATTTACAAAAAGGGTTAAAAACCCTAATTCATTTATCCCGAGGAAGTAGAGCATTTCTGGTTAGGTTCGGTTAACATTTGTTAATAATATTTATAGAACCATTTTGTAATGGAACAAAAATAAAAAATTTATTATGAACGACTGTCATAACTAATATACACTAACTCAAGATCGGTATAATTCGGCAGAAGCTTTTCTTTTATGCAAGTTTGATTGAAGACCAGAGCATGCTTCTTATTAATAATCTTCTTATTCGTCTTTTCAATGACTCGAACTAAGTTTCTAGCTGGCGCCGGGAGATCAAACAGTAGGTTACCAAAAGACATTTTAATAGAATGCAACGTTTCGAAAATACAATTTTCATTATCAAGCTGGAGATGGTTTTACAACATTTGAAATTGAATTTGAAATGACTGAAGTACATATGAATGGTNACTGTAATCTGTAACTAATATCATGTATGGAGTACACACTGTAATCTGTAACTAATATCATGTATGGAGTACACACTGTAATCTGCAACTAATATCATGTATGGAGTACACATCAGTACCAGCTACTAAAAATCATTGAAATATTCTTTACACATTTTATAACTTGTATTTATCATTATGATGAAAATCTTACATATATCTATAATCCCTTGTAAGCATTTTGAAGAAAATAGCAACGATGTAATATTCATCTATTCATCTTCTGCTGCCTTTTAATTAATATTGTAATTAATGTGATGAGAACCTAATTGGAATTGATATAAAAGACAGGGAATATCAGAAATGTAGCTTTCGAAATTGGAAACTGTGTAGCATAATTCAGTAAACACCGGAAAATATTTCACCGAATTCCCCAAAAAATTAAAAAATTCCTCAATCATTTTTAAGGCGAAAGATTTCTTGATTAAATAAAGTCGAGATTCGCTGGATGATTCAGGCCGTTGGCAACTGTCACCTCAAAGTCGTGACCGTATTCAAGCACGGCCGTTTTGGCCGCCGCCCTCGGCCACAACGGCCACCGGGGCCACCAGCCGTTCCCGCCTCACGACCTCGACGTCGTGACCGTACTCAGGCACGGCCGTTTTGGCCGCCGCCCTCTCCGGCCACAACGGCCGCCGGGGCCACCAGCCGTTCCCGCCTCACGACCTCGACGTCGTGACCGTACTCAGGCACGGCCGTTTTGGCCGCCGCCCTCTCCGGCCACAACGGCCGCCGGGGCCGCCAGCCGTTCCCGCCTCACGACCTCGACGTCGTGACCGTGCTCAGGCACGGCCGTTTTGGCCGTCTCCCTCGGCCACAACGGCCGCCAGCCGTTCCCGCCTCACGACCTCGACGTCGTGACCAAACTCAGGCACGGCCGTTTTGGCCGCCCTCGGCCACAACGGCTGCCGGGGCCGCCAGCCGTTCCCGCCTCACGACCTCGACGTCGTGGTCGTGCTCAGGCACGACCAGCACCCCAAGGTCCTCGCTGGGGGCGTGGTAGCCGATGTCGATGTACACGACGGGGTAGTTCAGCTGGTTGCCGCTGTCCCATGAGTAGAGCTCCTGTCGGGTAGATCATTGGTGTGGGTAGATCATTGGTGTGGTAGATCATTGGTGTGGTAGATCATTGGTGTGGGTAGATCGTTGGTGGGAGTAGATCATTGGTGTGGGGGTAGATCATTGGTGTGGGGGTAGATCATTGGTGTGGGGGTAGATCATTGGTGTAAGGGTTGTACCCTCACCTTAGCCAGAGGGTTGTACCCCCATCTTAGCCAGAGGGTTACACCCTCACCTTAGCCAGAGGGTTGTACCCCCACCTTACCCAGAGGGTTATACTCTCACCTTAGCCAGAGGGTTGTACCCCCACCTTACCCAGAGGGTTATACTCTCACCTTAGCCAGAGGGTTGTACCCCCACCTTACCCAGAGGGTTGTACCCTCACCTTAGCTCTAAGGTTGTACCCTCACCTTAGCCAGAGGGTTGTACCCGAGGGTCGTGGTCTTCCTGAAAGGGTTGCTGAAGAGGAGGTCGACGTCGAGGGCTTGGTGCGTGTACAAGTCCAGGGCGAACCTGAACCAGGGTAACTCATGTAAATTATACGGATTTATGTTTAGTATTAAAAAAACTATTACTTCTTATTTGTTTGGTAACATTATTCATGTTATTAATTTATTTTCAAAAAAATTAACTTCTAACTGCAAGCCCAATCAGAAAATGTTTCATGAAGACGAAAAAGCGTATTATTTAAATGAATATTTTGTTTAAATTTCATGAAACGTTTGACAAAAATTGACTTCAATGGGAACACACAAATGTAACGTTATAATATAACATTTTATCGATCACAAATTGAAATGTTTTATACTTTTTTCGCATTCAGATAATGTGTTCGCAATCGATCGGTAAAATCATCACCCGGTTTTCAATGGGAATATTTTGTAAAATGAATCTCGATTATTTATTTATTGAGTTTAAGCAATCCGTTAAGGACATCTCTATTGTTTATCTGCTCAAAATATATTTAATTAATCACTATTTTAGGAAAATATTACCGTATTTTCGTCTCTCGTTCCGTGGCGCTGTCGATGCCGTACAGGACGCCGCAAGTGACGAACATTTCGCCGAACTTGTGGTGGTTCAGGGAAATGTTCCAGCTGTACTCGATCTGTGGGAACAGCAATAGAGAACAGCCTTCAAATGATTGTCTCTCACCAAAGGTTGTCATGATTGTCTCTCACCAAAGATTGTCATGATTGTCTCTCACCAAAGGTTGTCATGATTGTCTCTCACCAGAGATTGCCATGTTTTTGTCTCACCAAAGACACAAAATATGAAACAGCGGAAAGAAAACATTTCAAGACAACGTAATGATTTTGCAAAATGATCTTACTAAAACTTTGCGCAAGCACGATTTTAGCACATGTCACTGAAAGTTCTATCAAACGCTTATGACTACATCGATCTGTCTGATTTTTGGTAGAGAGATGGAGAAAAACATAGGAAACAAATTCTGACCTTCAAAATTTTTTTAACTCTATTACTTTTCGGGTTACAGCCATGCAAAGTTGAATATCGTTTTTTGGGACACCCGGTATATAGACGACCCCGACGAGGAAGAATTCATCTTTGACACACAGGGCAGCACCAGGCTTGGCACCGGCTTAGCCATGGTTAGCGAAGACGCGGTACTAGACGCGTGCGTACGAAGAAATTGATCTTCTGTGTGTAATGTGTAGTACTCCTCGTACAACAGTTACGAGGACTCTGATGATTCGGATCGCAACGCATAGGAACTCCTGAGCCTAATTGGGGCAGATCAACACTGAGAAGTTACTGCACAATTCAAAATTTTGTGGGTCTTTGATATCGCAGTGGTTGAAAAAAAAAGTGATTGTAATACAGGCTAAAACTAACTATTGGTTGAACGATGGAGTGGGTAGAAAAGAGGAGTAACACAATTCATTTTGTATTTTAATTGAGTGGCCAGGCAGTTTGTGAAGCTGGAAAGTACGGTTATTGCCGTGCTGACTTGAAATTCAAATAAACAGTTTTATTGTTTATCGTTTATTTATACGTTTCTAGCGTAATAAATAATAAAACTTATTATAAAAATTATATTTATTAACCTCCATTGACCAGCACATGTACGGCAAACTAGTGACTGTTCATGTCCACGATCGATTTTCGTCGAATAAAATATGATGTACAATTTTTTTCGGTGTAAACACGGCTCCAGTCTAGCTGTGTAAATTCAAATGAGTGGTAGAAATCTATGATACATTCAAGTGAATGAAGATGTAAGTAATAAAATTAAAAATGTTTATAGAACTTTTCACGTTTTGAAGGCATGCGTCAATGAGAAAACAAAGGTCAAAATATCTGATCCAAGTAAAATCCATGGTAGATTTAAGTGAATGAAGATGTAGGTAATAAAATTAAAAATGCTTATAGAACTTTTCACGTTTTGAAGGCATGCTTCAATGAGAAAATAAAGAACAAAATCTCAGATCCAAGTGAATTTTCTGATGTACAGTTTATGTACAAGTACTAGAGCAGAGCGCCAGGGGTTGCAGTGAGAGAGCGAGCAGTACTAGGAGTTCTATATAAAGAGTAAAGACAGCTCAATGTAAGCGAACCTCTAACTTGTCAAAATTAAATACTGCATTAGCTATATAGAAGAGGTAATACAAGTCACTAGGTTCAGTTAAACGGTATCGACAGAATAAGATGGTATTGTGCAACTTGATATTTCGGCTCATTAATAAAAAAAGGATACGTTTTGAATGGAAAAGACTTTGGGACTGGTATGAATCGGTTTTAAAATATTTTGCTCGAGGTTATCTAAGATAAACATCAGATTACTGGTTTTTAAAATCTCGTTAGGGGAAGTGCTGTTGAACGGTATGGTTGACAGTTACACATTTTGTAGTTCAAGCTTGAACACGAATAAAATATTTGTTTAAAAATTACTTTTTAAAGCCAACTGTTCTAAAGAATCCAGTGCCATTGATGTTACACATGTACAACGAATTTCTAATTTTATTTCAAATATTAAAATAAATTAGTGTTCAAATTTTTTTAATATTTAAAAAGATTCTAAATTTTCAAAATTATTTATTCTGTCAACTGGTTCAAGCATTATTTCTGACTTTATGCAAATGTGCAAAATTTCAGATCGATTGGGCAGTTAAAAGTGTGTTAAATATGGATTATAAGATTTGTAGCAGACAATATTATTTTTCGATTTTTTAATATTTAAAAAATATCTTTTATTTTAAAATTATTTATTTTATCAGTTGATTCATGCATTGTCTCCCACTCCACGCAAATGTTCAAAATTTCAGATTGATTAGACAGGTAGAAGTGTGTTACATATAAATTATAAGATTTGTAGCAGACAGACAAACAAACAAACAAACAAACAACAAGAAGTTAAGTTAAAAAGAAGTGTTTAAAAACAAGTAAATTTTTCGTGCTCACGTTAAGAGTGTCAGGCTCGAGCTTGACGACGACAGTGTTGTTGTTGCTGGGTATGCCATATATCGCCCATATGCCGTTCTCATCAGCAGCCAAGTCCAGGTAGCTCCTAGTCTCCGTGTACAAGAAGTTGTCACCGCTACTTGCGAGCAGCGGCAGCGGCTGGAACTTCACGGAGTTCGCTATGAAGTCAAATTTGATGACGTTGGAGGAGTTGCTTTCGTGGTAGTACAACGCGCCGTTGTATACCACGTGAGAGTTGCCCTGCGACGATATAATGTTATATTGTATTATATTATGTATTTATATTAAATTATATTATATTATATTATATTTTAGTATATTTTATTATATTATATAATAATATATATAGGCACAATTTTATAGCTTTTCAATTTTTCACGAATGTGAAAAAAACAAAAAGGGTAATTGAAAATATCCGCATTAATTTTTTTCAATCAAATATTTCTAAGAGAAATAAGGTAAACCATCAATATTTTCATAGATAAATAATATTCCCACATATTTTCAGCAAATTGTGGTGACTCTTCTCGTTATTTTCTTCAGTTTTGAATTATTGGATAATTAGCGTTTTCAGGAATCGAATTATTTTACTGTATATAATTTATTTAAATGTGTCTATCATGAAGCATTCTATTTGAGTTCTACCAGAGAGCGCTAAATTATACCAATATATTCAAATGAAATAAAATATTCAAATTGAAGCGACCTATTCAGAGCAAAATCTGAATATTCATGTTAAAGCCACGTACTCAAAATTGAATTAAAATTTCAAATAGAATCAATCTTAAAAAACGCATTCAAATTTATTCGAAAAAAATTCATAAAAAATTAAATTATTCAAGTTGAATCAACATTACCTAATTAATATAGATTAACCTATTTACTTCATAGATTAACCTGCTAAATGAATATTTATTTTAAAGATTTTGAATTATTATTTTTCAACTTAATTCCTAATTAACTGACCAATCAGCTAATTTTTATAACACAAACATATTATTCAACGCTTACCGTGAATGCAAAAGGCAGAGTGTAGTTCTTAGTGTAGTTATCCTTCCTGAACTTCTCCTTGTTTTCATACTCGTACAGAGTTTCAGGTTCTGAAGGTTTGGTCGCGTAGTAGTAAGGTTCGTAGAACTTACGTGGCCGAACGTCCCGTAGCCAGGCTCCGTAGTCGCTGTTCGAGTGGCGGTTGAAAACCGGTTTGCCAATTGCTGAAAGTTTGCAGTCTTCGGCACGGGAAAAATTATCGGGAAAAATATTAGAATAAATATCTGAATCAAAAGTCCGAACAAATACAGGCAATTTGCGGCCAAAATTATGAGCACATAATGACATGCAATTTGATATAACAGCAAACAATAGATATGATAAAAGCAAAAAGACTGAACGCATAAAAGAAACCTTGAAAATTTACCAAATTTTCAGAAAAAAAAATTAAAACTTGATGCCATGGCATATTATTTTCATTTATTTCCGCGGGTAATTTTTTTATTTAGGTAATCTAATGTTCTTAATTAAAGTGTTCCACTCACCAAGACTCCTGTTGCTGAAGCCTTCACTCACCAAGACTCCTGTTGCTGAAGCCTTCACTCACCAAGACTCCTGTTGCTGAAGCCTTCACTCACCCAGACTCCTGTTTTTGAAGCCAGGGTAAGTGTCGTTGCCGAACTGGCCAATATTAAGGCAGTAGAGGAAGCCGGAGTCGTGTACGGGTGGCGGCGGTGGGGGGCAGGCTTCACACACGGGCTGTGGGGGGCAAAGGTCCCCGAAAAGCTCTGAATAATTCGGGGCCTCGGGACCGAACGACACGCCGCTAGACGCGCCCGTCGACGGCTTGTAGCGACGGGGGTCGGTTTCTGGCAGTTAAAATATCCAAAATATTAGTTTGTATTTGTAAATATATCCCATTAATTGTTGTACATTTTTATTTCTGGTGGTGACAATAACCCGTAAATATAAATATTTTCTGATCAATTTTTATTTATGGCAGTAGAAGTAACCCAAATATATAAATATTTATTAATACATTTTATTTATATACTTATGACCCCTGCCGCTTCAATTAAAACTTTTGAAATAATTACTCGTATACAATTTGAAATCAAATATTTTAAATGTTAAAAAATAAAAATATTTTATCTTCGCTTTGTTTCATTTCATTCAAATCTCATTTGTATCGTTTTAGTCCCAGATTTAATCCCACAATTTTAATCTAACTTATTCCACGTTCCACCTTTTAGCCTATGGTGCACAATGTAATCACTTCCATTTATTCCAATTCATCCTAATTTACGAATCACTGTCATATTAATAATTGTAATAATAATAATGATGTTAATAATAATAGTAATAATAATAATAATAATAACAATAATATTAATAATAACAATAATAAAAATAATAATAACAATAATAATAATAATAATGAATATAATAATAATATTAATAACAATAATAACAATGATAAAAACAAACGTGCAAATAAGTTCAAATTTTTTAGATTATCGGCAAGTAAGTCACAAATAATGGCACATATGAATAGCACAAATGGTTTAACAATGTGTGTAAATAATTCGAATTCGTAGATCAATCAACCAATAAAAATAGTAATGTTAATAAAATAATTGTTTGCGATTATATTAGGGGTGGGTTATAGCAGCTGGTCACAGCAGCTGGTCACAGCAGCTGGTCACAGCAGCTGGTCACAGCAGCTGGTCACAGCAGCTGGTCACAGCAGCTGGTCACAACAGCTGGTCACAAATCTCACCGTATAGCTCAACAGCTCCACGGGTGACCGCCAGTTCGTTCTTGGCGATGCAGTAGAAGTTGCCGTAGTCTGAACTGCTGATGTTGGTCAGCAGCAACACCAGCGTCCTCTGGCCGGCAGGGGAAGAAAAAAGTTTTGTTATCTCCTCGGAACGCTGTTAATCAACCACTCTATGCCATACAACATCCAAACATATGGGATGTTGTAGACGCGGTACTACATACCATCCCCCTACCATTTAAACGTAGGTGGTATGTGGCCTAGTTGTTAAAGTTCAGAGTACAAAGATTGGCGCAGAGAGGCGCGGGTTCGATCCCAGCTCTGTGCGCCAGTTTCTGGTCAGAATCGGCGAGGAGGCCGGGCGTTTGAGCAAAGTAGAATTGGAGCAGTGAGTTGCGAGTTCGAGACCGCAAAAAACTATGAATGTTCTGCGTAATTGAGAATCGGTGTCAGGCGTACGGCCTACAAAAGGCTGAAATCAACTATTATTGTTATTTATCATTATGTGGGACGCTGTAGACGCCGTACTACCTACCATCTACATGTAATTGGTATGCGGGACGTTGTACACGCGATACCACCAACTATACCCACCTACCATCCACCTGACATTCGTCAACCATTCAAACGTAAGTGGTATGCGGGATATACCACATACCACCCGTAAAAAGGAAATATGTGGGACGTTTTAAACACGCTACTACCTACCATCCACCTACCATCCAAACATAGGTGGTATGCGGGACGTTGTAGATGCGGTACTTGTCGGAGTTCTCGAGCAGTTGTCCATGTTTGTTCTCCCAGTAGGTGAGCGCTGCTGGGAAGCTCTCCACCCTGCACTCCATCCTAGCGGATGACCCGTTGAACGCCCCGACCTTCCACTCCTTCACTTGGATGAACGGCTCGACTGTAATCAAATTAATAATAATAATAGTGTTATAAAATTATTCTTAACACGTTTAGATATAATAACTTTTGACAATATTTGAACTAAATAAGGGATGACATTCTCAGGCCTTATCCTTATTAGTCACAAGACACTAAAATCGCTCACAGGTCACCTCAGGGACTCACAAGACCTTCCCCTCCTTCGGACTCACAGGACACCTCGAAGACTCACAGAGCCTCCTACTTAGGACACGCAGCGCACTTCCTATACTCTCAGGACGCCTTCTGGCCTCACATAACCTCCCTCACGACCAACCAGACGTGTCTAAATACTCACAGGACCTCCCTACATGACTCACAGGACCTCCAGGACTCACAGTGCACCTCCAGCAGGAAGGTCCTGACGGCGTCAGGAGGGACGCCGTTGTAGGCGATGCACTCGTAGCCGCCCGTGTGGTCCCGCCGCACCCGCGTCAGGTTCAACACAGACCCCGTGACCCCCGCGTCTGTCACGGAGATATTCGTGTATCTTTGTCGGGACTTTGTTAACTGCTTACGATAATCAATTACGATAACAGATCTATCAATTAACTCTGCGTAAAAATAAATTATTTACAATTGAAATCATCTCGTGAACGGTTTTCACTCATTCTTAAAGATGTCCGAAGAATAAAAATCTGGAAAAGTGTCATATGCCTTCGCTCCTTTACTCGATATCTGCAGTATAACTATACTGCAACCGAGCGTCTTTGCTACTATAATCGATATCTGCAGTATATAGCTACTGCAAACAAGTATCACAAGTTTTATTGTGACGACATAACTGATTAATAAGGACGAGAGTTTGTTGGATGAGAGCAAAGTGAGCGCTCCCATTTCAATTGTGACATAAGTGATTATAATCACTTATGGTGACAGTCGATGTAATGATAATGAACAAAATTGCAATTATGTTAGCGAAAAAATTACCTACTGACTTCGTAACCTGTGGTGCCATACCAGCGAACTTTTGGTGCTTGCACGAAAGTCAAAACGTCTATTCAGAAATATATAGGTAATTATAAATATTATTTCATAAGTGGTCTGAATTATTATGTATCCGCTGCCCGGTATAGATATATAGTAATATCGTCAACTTAATTACCTACTCGATTAGGGTGATAGTCGGCTGTCTTTCGTCTTACGTGCAGAAAGACGTCATTAACCCTTTCGTTTTAATGAGTGTCTTCACGCCCTTCCCCCCTCCCTACCCTTTTCTTCTTCTGTCCTCTTACGTTCAGAAGGTATATCACAATTTAGACATTATGAGTCAGTAATTTTAATTAATGTATTTACTTTACAAGCCCTTCCTCCTCTCTCCTTTTACGTGCATAAAGTACGTCACAATTTTAGACATGATTAATTTTTTTGACTTGTCACGCCTGTCCCATCTTTCCCCCTTCCCTCCCTCAACCCCATCCCCCCCTTACCTCCCTCATCCCCCTCTCCCCCCAAATTTCCATAACCCGTTGGGATGCTGGCGCCGTCCCCGCGTCTCCAGTGGACGCGTGGGGTCGGGACGCCCGTCGCCTCGCAGCGCATGCGTACGTCGTCCCCCTCCCGCACCACCAGCGGGCCCGGGGACCAGCCCGTCACGGGACCTGTCATGGTCATGAATTTATGAATTTATGAGTCCTTGAAGTCCATATACGGAAGCGTGTAGCGGCCTAAACATACACATCGGCCCAAGTACACGTATCGGTCCAAGTACACGTAGCGGCCCAAGTACGCGTAGCGGCCTAAGCACACATAACAGCCTACGCACACGTAGCGGCCTAAGTGCATGTAGCAGCCTAAGCACACATAACGGCCTTAGCATACGTAGCGGCCAGGTCTATTTTATTTTACAACGCGGCCTAAGTACACGTAGCGGCCAATTTCTCATCAGTGATTGGTGGGATTAGCTTGAAAAGCCTTCAGTGATTGGCTGACGTAATAACGTACTTATACCTATTTCTGCTAGTTCCCTGAAAAAAACGAACAACAAGATTGTTAATAAAAAACATGCTCTGGTCTTTAATCAAACTTGCATAAAAGAAAAACTTCTGCCGAATTACACCAATTTCTGATAGTGTATATATATTGTGAAGGAAATAGTCTATGGTTATATATTATGATGATCATAATCTATTGTTTATGCGCCCTGACCCCCCAACCCACCGGGGAGGGCGGGGGGGATGAGGAGGTGGCGGGGGGAGGTGCCGTTCACCTTCCACGTGTTGACCCCCGGGACCCCCGGGGCGCCCGCCAGCCCGGGGTCTCCCGTGCGGCCCCGCGGGCCCGGCAACCCTGGGGGGACATGTTCACAAATGTTCTATAAATTGTTAAATAATAATAATACAGGAATCTATTAATAATAATTATACAGAAATGTTCTATAAATTATTAAGTTTTAAATGTTCTTCTATATATAATTTAATATTAATATAATTCTAGATTTACTATATTATAAAATATATACTGTTATATACTATATTTCATTAAATACAATTTTATCAACTATATTATAAAATATGTTTATACCGTTATATACTATATAATAATAAATATAGTTATAAATTACACGACAATTAAAATTTGAAACTTCAATAATTTAGTAAAAAATTATTTTTTAAGACACAGAAACCTTTATTTTTTACACTCAGAGAAATGAATAAGACTTTGTCCGAATAACGGTGCACTTCATGCCCTTATGTGGGTCATCCTGACACAGTTTAGCCCGGCAGAAGGGCGGATCAGTGCTACGTCCGTACTCTACTCGTGCTCTGAGTAAGAAAGTGTGTCACTACGTGGACAACGTGACCCATTAACATTTCTGAATGATGAAAATAATTAATAATTATATTGTTTAATATTCTTACTAAAAAATATATGATATAAGACTCACCCCGCACCCCCTTGTCTCCGGTCACCCCCTGGATGCCCTGTGGGCCTGTCGCTCCTGTAAAGGAATATTATTGTAAAATATACCTTTTTAAAAATATTATTATTATAATAATTATTAAAATATTAATAAAATTCTAATATTTTATTTATTCTATAATACTTTATTATACAATAACAATCAGCAGTGAAAAATCCAAATATTCACGAAAAATATAGAAACCAGAGTGACAAGAAAACGAATCATTGAAGATACACCAACACAAACCCCAACACAACCCCCAACACAACCCCCAACACAACCCCCAACACAACCCCCAAGCTGCCTTCGTAAATTAAGAAGCAAGCGATTAAATAGAAGCGCCTGCACAGCTCCGCTGTGCTGAACGACGCCGTTCAATATTTTATGGGACGTCTGAGGTCTATATTTTATGGGACGTCTGAGGTCCATATTTTATTAAACGTCTGGGGTAAATATTTTATGGGACATCTGAGGTCTATATTTTATGGGACGTCTGAGGTCCATATTTTATGGGGCGTCTGAGGTCTATATTTTATGGGACGTCTGAGGTCCATATTTTATGGGACGTCTGGGGTAAATATTTTATGGGATATCTGAGGTATATATTTTATGAGACGCCTGACGTCTATATTTTATGGACTCATGGAAAAATTAGGGTTTATGGTTCAAGGGTTATAGGTCATTGTTTAAAGTGTATGGCATTGAAGATTCGAGGGTTATTGTTTATGGACCGTTGGGCGTTTATGAATTATTTATTTTTATGAATTATGAATTTAATTCTTTATGAATTTTATTTTATGAATTATGTATTTTTAATCTATTATAAAGAGCTTTTGAGCGTTTCTGATTTATATATTTTGGAACGCCGGACGGTTTTTAGAGTAAATTTTATGAACCGTTTTTGGTTTTTGTTATATGAACCATTTATTATTTATATTTTATGGGTCTTTGGACCGTTGGACCATTTGTAGCGTCTATTATATGAACCGTTGACCGACTTCTACATAGATTATTATCCTTTTTTTTGCTTGAGGCTTGGCGCAGCGAGTTTTGCAAATTTTATTCATAAATTCAAAGTTTGAACTTGTTTAGATTTCCAAAAATGGATTTGAATGAGAGTTCCTTATAAAATGTTTGCTTGAACTTGACTTTCGAAACTATGTGCAGGATTCGGAATATTAGAGCCCAGAATTTCGAGAGGGGTTTTTTTTATCAGGTTACAAGGATTGTCTATTCAGAGCTACGCCCTGTATTTAATGCATGAATTAACGGATCGCGAAAACAATAATGGTTGTCTGAAGCGGTCACCAGTGGCATTCGCAGCTGGTGGTAGTTCATATTTTGCTACCATTTGACCCCATAATGATTTATATTTGATCAACCATTTAACTATAATGATTTATATTTTATCATCCATTTGACCTAAGTAATATATGTTTTACGAACCATTTAACATAGGAATTGATATTTCAAAAAGCATTTTGCCATAATAATTCATGTTTTACGAACCCTTTGACCATAATGGTTTATATTCGATGAACCATTTAACCATATAATAACTCATGCTTTACGAACCATTAAACCATAATGATTTATGTTTTATTGGCCGTTATGTCGTTTATGGCGAATATTCTATGTTTGCGTATCTCTTCCCGATTGCTAATCTCCGTTAAATTGGAGGTGCTGTTTATTTGAATTAAAAACCTATAGTAAACTTTGTTGAATTAATTTATGTGGATAACGGGAGCAAGACTGGCCGCAATAATTAAATGGAAACCAAATCATTAGAACTGGTATCGTTACTTCGAAGTTATCTAACGAATGTTTTTCGAGATTTCAAAGCAAACCACAGAACAACCAACGTGCCGATCGTGAGTTCAATTGTTTTTTTTTCTCCTAATGGAATGCGGCAAATTTCCATTCAATTAATGTTAACGTTCGAGCGATCCGTAAAAACTGTTAGGCTCACGGCTTGAGGAATTTTTTTGTAACTTCAAGGAGCGCGGATTTCGCTAGAACTCCTGCTTCTTTTAAACTGTCACTCCCCCCACACCCTTCAACAGATCTCCCCCTTCAAAAGATCTCCCCTTTCAACAGCCCTCCCCCCTTCAACCATAACAGATCCCCTTCCCATAACAGATCCCCCTCCCATAACAGATCCCCCTCCCATAACAGATCCCCTCCCATAACAGATCCCCTCCCATAACAGATCCCCTTCCCATAACAGATACCCCTCCCATAACAGATCCCCCTCCCATAACAGATCCCCTTCCCTCAACAGATCCCCCTCCCATAACAGATCCCCCTCCAATAAACGATCCCCTTCCCATAACAGATCCCCTTCTTCAACAGATCCCCCTCCCAAAAATATCCCCGCACTTCTCCAAAAAAAAAGTAATTTCCAGATTTTCGTTCACCCCCGCAGGCCGCGATGACAATAAATCAGGAGTTTTAGAGCCAGTAACCGACACGGGCCCAGATGGGGCCCAGAACTGGGCACCGTGCCGCCCGTCTCACCGTCTGTCCTGCTGCGCCCATCTCACCGTCTGTCCCGTTGCGCCTGTCTCACCGTCTGTCCCGTTGCGCCCGTCTCACCGTCTATCCCGTTGCTACCGTCTGTCCCGCTGCGTCCGTCTAACCGTCTGTCCTGTTGCGCCCGTCTCACCGTCTGTTCCGCTGCTCCCGTCTTACCGTCTGTCCCGTTGCGCCCGTCACGTCCGGGCAGACCGTCAAATCCTGGTATTCCGTCCACGCCAGGAATTCCGTCCAGGCCATTCCGTCCTGGAATTCCGTCCAGTCCAGGCTCTCCTGGCAGGCCGTCCCTTCCGTCCAGACCTGTCAATCCTGCGGACAGAAAAAGGTAAACGTATAGTGAAGACAAACAGAGGCACTGCATCTCAGACAGTGAGGACAAACAGAGGCACCAAATCTCATACAGTGAGGACAAACAAAGGCAGAAAATCTAAAACAGTGAGGACAAACAGAGGCACCGCATGTAAGACTGTGCGGACGAGGCATCTCAAAACTGTTGAGGCCAAACAGAGGCACTTCCTCTCTTACAGTGAGGGCGAACAGAGTCATCGTATCCCAGGCAGAGAAGACATGATTAATAATAATGAACGAAGATTTGTTGAAAAAAGTGCGCAGAAAACTTAGGGAAACTGAAAAAGATATCAAATCAAATGTCACATTCCACATAAAAAAACTATAGATGAATTTATGAGTTCTTTGCATCCAGATTCATGTTTCCGACCACGCAGACGTGTGAAGAATATCCGAATATAAGTTTCTGAATATTAATATTCATCCCTGAAGAACATTTTGTCATTCAGGTGGGCGAGTCACTTTGAAATTTTGAATAAAATACTTTGCATGCCCGTCAGCAAATCGAAAACTCGCTGACCTGTACAGAACGTGTCCGAAATCCGGGATGTATGTTACGGTCTTTTATAGGACTTTGTCGTTCACTCTTTTTTTCAGAAGCATTTTTGAATTCGCTTACATATTATTTAGATACTGAAAAAAGGTGATAGATTTAACTATAAATTCGGATAACGTAAAAGGGGTGCATCCTACAGGTTTCTTTTATGATATAACCATATCGTTCAGACTTTTTAATCAATTCGAATCGAAGCGAAGATGGCAAGGCTAAAGTCAGGCTATTTACTAGTTAAACCTTACTCCTTAAGAAATGTTATCTCGATTCTTTCCCTGTAGTGTTCGTAGGAGTGCAGCGGGTTGCAACAAAATGTACAACGCTAAATAAGCGTGGCCAAAATTTGACCCGCTACAGCAGCACAAACCTTCCTCGCAGTCTACCGAAGCAATGAATATGCACGATATGAAAACCATTAATCCCTAATAACGCAATGCTGAAACCGTTATACCATTTTTATCCAATATATAAACCATTAAACACCAACTGCAAATTGCAAAATCCATTGAACCATTATTTCACAATATAGAAACCATTAAACCCCAACTGCGCAATGCCGAAACCATATTAAATCATTATTGCCTGATATAAATGAACCATTGAACTTTCATTGCCCAATGAATGAACCTAATCAAAATTAATTATAACGAAATATGTCCAACATCCAAGAAAAATTTCAAGTTTGTGCAGAAATTAGAAAATTATATTGGAATTTCCTGAATAAATTACACACTGCATTTATAGAAGATATATTCACCCTAATTAGTCAATTATTCCTATATTAGATATCAACTTTTAGACAACATGATTCACTGCTTGTCTTTGACACTGTCGTAAAGAACAGTTTTACTTTACATATTTTATTTCACCAATAAATAATCTCATCGTGCGCTTTACCTTCGCTCCAGCAATTGACGCGCCGTTCTTTAATAAATGCGATTTCATATGAGACACAAATAAGAATAACATAATAAATAATAGTATATTATAAATTAACGTATTTTTGAGTAAGGAAACAAATGCTGAATCTCTTCGCTTGACACTTAAATTTTCTTAATGAATTTTTATAAGAGAATTTTCTGTGCCCATTGTAGCGCAATTATTCAAGGGGTATTTGCCGTAAATATATTTTATTCTCAAATTAATTTAAAAATATAACTCAGTACTCACTGCGCTGAGGGACAGAGAGCGCATTTTCTCGTTGACGCAAACGTGAAGTCACGGACGGACAGACAGACAGACAGACGGATGGACATGACGAGCACAATAGTGCATTTTTACCATAAATGAGGAAATGCGCTAAAAAGAAGATCATATTAATTCAATTTTTTTTAATAAATGTAAATTTTATGCATTTTCTCACCAGTGTTGCCCATGTCGCCCTTCTTCCCATCGATGCCAGGAGGGCCCCGCTGGCCTGTGAGGCCCGGGGGTCCAACGGGGCCCGTGCTGCCCTTGGGACCCGTGGGGCCCGTCTCTCCCTTGCTGCCCGTTCGGCCCCGTTCCCCTGCACGTCCCTCGGGACCCACGGGGCCCGGCGGGCAAGATGCCCGCGTGCGGGTACAGAATTCTTCGATGGCGTCGTACTGCGCAGTGAGGTTATAGATGGCAATTTAAACTTGAATGCAATTATTGATGTTTTAAATAAGACATTAATGTTTATTTTACATATACATTATATTTTAACTTTTCATGTCATGTATCATTGGTTTGATGATGATAGTAATTTAAAGAGAAGCTTAGAAATGATTCCATTATTCAAATTCTTATCAATGTACAATGACATCGTAGTGGCCAAAACCATTGTTTAATATTGAGCTCTTGATTAATGGCTTTGCATATTCGATATATTGACAATGATATTCACAGTTCAAGTGATTAAATGGCCTGAATCTTATACCGGGTCATGAAATCCATTTAAATTTTATTGAAATTTTCCCAGTGGTGGAAAAAGCATTATTAGAACATTCGGAAAATTTAAATTATATTTCTGTAATGAAAAAGTGAAAAACAGCAATGGAAACTTATGACTTTCAATATTCGAGACGTGGAAACAAAGTAGGACGCATCAAAAAATTGCACGCAATTAAAACGTAAAAGGTATTTTCCATAACAAAGTAACGTTTCATCAGTTCAAAATAAAAAAAAATCTCCAGATTCACTTTAGAAACAACAGAGTAAAAATTAAAAAAACTTAGAATTATTCTAATTGAAGTTTCATCGCAAAAATAATCAATTTTCATCAATCAAAATTGAAGTTTCATCGCAATCAATTTGATTGAAGCTCAAGTAACTTTCTAAACGATTCCAGAAAATATTTTTTTTGACGATTCAAAACTTTACTTTGAATATATTGCAGGCTTCGCTGCCCTCAGCGTGGGCACCCTCAGATTTTCCCTCACAATGCATACTCGTCAAACGGTCCAATGTCATTAAATTTAAAAAATAAAACTCGGTACTCACTGCAGTGTGCGACAGAGAGTGCATTTTCTCGTCGACGAAAACGCGGTTACGGATGGACAGACGGACGGACATAATGAACATAATAGCGCCTTTTTTCCATAAATGAGATAATGCGCTAAAAATCAAAAAAATGTAAAAAAAATCAAACAAATTTAATTAATTATTGCAAATTTTCGTCGTATAAAAGTGGTAGGCAACTGAGCATTAGACACTCAACAGTCACTGGCAAAATATAAAAACTTTTGTTATTTAATAAAATATTATTGTACGAATGTAGACTCGCTCATCCGTATAGATCGTCTGCGACCGAGGTCACACTCTTAGCAAGTGCAATCTAAAATTTGCATTTTAATTTGAAATTTATAATATTTTGTATGTTTGTTCATTGCAATCTTAATTTAAAATTTACGAAAATTGGAATGCGGAAGGTGTGCGTCGATAGATTATTATGCGGTGCGAAGCCCGCATAATAATGTAGTGTGTTACTTCCGAGCGCGTATTTTGAAAAGAGGATATATGAGAATCAAATGGAATAGATGCAATATATTTTTTTCTCATATGCATCATATTTATTACTTTACTTTGTGAGTCAGAAGTGTACTTATTGCTTGTTTTGTTTTGTTTAGGAAAACCTCGAGACTTAGTTCCAGCATTTGTTCAATAAAGTCATATTAATTGAAGACCCTTATTTAGTAACCAGCCCCTATAGCTAGTGCGATCATTCAGTTCAAGTTGGAGTGTCCAGGTGACTCCAGCACCAGCTAGAGTGCGAAACTTCTCAAAGATTGAAGCTAGAGAAATTCACATAAATGTTTCGAGATTAAATATTTAATACTTTATTTAGTTAATGCAATCTTCATAAATAATATTTGCTTCTTTAATGTTTTTAAAAATGCACTTTAATAAGAACTAATTTTGTGACGAAATTTATGTCTCGTTTTTCCAGCTTTTGTCGTCACAAAGTTTGAAGTGTACATTGGAAAGATAGAACGAGCTAGTAAGGTAGGAATGACAAAAATAACTGTTACATTTCCTACATAGTTTAGTCACAAATTGACTTTTGAAAGTTTAAAAAAGTTCTATCGAGGAAGTAGCAATCCAGGAACGAAATGGAGAGCGCGGTCTTTAAAACGAAGTGGCAAGCACAGTCTTCAAAACGGAGTAGAAGGTACAGTCTTTTAAACGAAGTGGCAAGTACGGACTTTAAAACGAAGTAGAAGACACAGTCTTTAAGGCGTTGAGGCAAACACAGTCTTTAAAACGAAGTAGAAGGTACAGTCTTTGAAATGAAGCAGAAAGCTCAGTCCTTGAAACGAAGCTGGAAGCACAGTCTTTAAACAAAGGTGAAAGTACAGTCTTTACAACGAAGTAAAAAGCACAGTCTTTAAAGCGAAATAGGAGGCACATTCTTTAAAACGAACTAGAAGGCACAGTCTCTAAACGAAGTAGAAAGCACTGTCTTTACAACGAAGTAGAAAGCAAAGTCTCTAAAACGAAGTCGGAAGTACAGTCTTTGAAACGAAGTAGAAGGCAAATGTTTTTAAACAAATTAGAAAGCACAGTCTTTAAAACGATGTAGGAGGCAAATTCTTTAAAACGAAGTAGAAAATACAGTATTTAAAACGAAGTAGAAAGCACATTCTTTAAAACAGAGTATAAGGCACAGTCTTTAAAAACGAAGTAGAAAGCACAGTCTTTAAAACGAAATATTAGCACAGTCTTTAAAACGAAGTAGAATGCACAGTCTTTGAAACGAAGTAGACGGTACAGTCTTTAAGATGATATCGTTCATCGGCGCTCTAAGCAGTTTGGCAGCGCGCCGCTGCGATCGGTTTGCTCGTTATATTTGATGCCGCGTCGTTATATTTGATGCGAGGCCGGCAAACCTGATGCGGTTTCTTAAAACTGTTGATGACGCCGGCATGTTACTTGTTTGGGGGCTACTTGGCCGCCATATTAACTGCGAGACGCTGCGCAACAGACGATGCACACTGAGCAACAGACGGCCAACAGCAGCGGGACTGCGAGACGCTGCGCAACAGACGCCAACAGCAGCGGGACTGCGAGACGCTGCGCAACAGACGGCCAACAGCAGCAGGACTGCGAGACGCTGCGCAACAGACGCCAACAGCAGCGGGACTGCGAGACGCTGCGCAACAGACGGCCAACAGCAGCAGGATAATGCACAAACCAAAGGAAAAATATGGGCACGGTACAAAGGGTTAAACAATCTTGGCTTATATGTTATTAATGAATATTTGTAATATGTGCCATCGATAATTATATAGAACTACGTTAAAATGATACCATAAAAAATAAACTTATTCCAGGCACAGAACACTTTAAAAAGCAACGCCATTGAGAGATGAGTAAACAATTCATTTTTCGACCAGTTACCTCAATACTTACTGTCGTGCGAATGTTTTAAGTTCCAACCTATGTTTCAGTGTTTTAATTTTAAAAAACTTCTGTTTTATTCCATCTCTACTCACCGGAATTTTCGAGTACGATGTGAGCTGCAGCCATGAAGTGTCTTCCTCTTCAGGAGCATCTTGAGAGGAGGAAACTCCTGCAGTCGTTTCTTCTTGTGTTGCTTGGTCACTTTGGGTATCGTACGTCGTACTTGTATTCCCCGTGTTCCGTGAAATGTTTACAAAGTTACGTGAATTATGCAAACGTTCGGGGATTTTTGGTCCGCTTATGGTGCGTGGAGCTGTATTGTGGATTAATAAACTATGCCCACGACCATCAGGCATGTCTATATTTGATACAGTCACGTGTCTTCTTCCTTCGTGGCCACTCGCAACATGAGTGGTGCTTCGCTGCACGCCACTCATAAAGTTGTCTGAGTGGCGATACGGTGAGCTAAAAGCTCGTCCCTCGGCTACGTTTGTGGCGTGTGAAGGATCAATGACAGGACTGTAGTCGACGTTGTCCTTGCGACCACGTCCCCTCGTCAACAACCCTCTCAACCGCACCGCTCTGTATGAGCCACTTGTGTCAGCCTCGTTTAACGACTTACCGGAAGACGTGCCGAAGTCTGAGTAAACGGCCCTATCTTTACGAGAAACGCCTCTGCCCGGCCTTCTTCTACCGTTTTTTCTAGAGGCAATTTTGTTGTCAGCTTTGAATGTCGTACGCCGACGACCATGAGATGATGTATCGGGCCAGGACTGCCATTGATCTTCGTATTGTCGCTCACGAGCACGACGGAAACTACGACGTTGCGTTTGGTCGTAGTCTGCCCATCGCTTTGGCCTGTCGAGCGATGACACGTTAAGTATCAAGTCGTTATATGTTCCCTTTTCGTTTAATTTACTCGAATTTTTATTGTCCAAAACAGCATTATTTTGATCGATGTTCAGTGGGACGAAGTTTCGCTCTTCCCCTGCCCTAGTTTCTTCGTCGAATAATAAGTAATCATCAAGTGTCTCTTCGTCACCACTATAATCGAAATAATAATCGAAATTTAATAGTTTATTCTCAAAATCCGAGCCTCTCCCCTCGATGCGAATTTTTCTCCGATTTTTTAAATCCTCACTTCCAGCTGCAAGATGGCTAGAAAACCCGGAAGAATGTGCATCGTATTCTTCATCATCCGTAATAATATCGAGATTCTCTTGTTTCTGATAGAAAGAATCGAGTTTTTTCAAAGAGTTGACGTAAGCCTCGTCTGTTTTGATACGCCGCAGCTCCGTCATAAGCCTTGCCAGCTGCTGATGAACTGAGCTGTGTTCTTCAAAATGATTTCGGCGCATGATATTTAACTGATGGTGTAAATAAAAGATCGATGCTGCTTGTGCCACACAAATGACCACGAAGGCTATAATATATGGACCATGATAAGTTCTGTTGGACACAGCCCCTGTTGCAGGAACAGAACAGACATTCTTCCTACACCTGTTGACGTGATGACTTTTTCCGCTCCTGTTTCCTTTAGCGTCATTCGAAAGATGTGGACCGGGCAAATTAAGAGTAATTATTTTATCATGATTACTAGATACTTTATAATCATTTGAATTGCAGTCATGATGGCGGCTTTTTCGGGTTGAATCTTGCAGTTTCTTTCGATCGTCGCCCTTCGCCTCGCCCGTCACCGAGTGGTAAACTGTCATCTCGGTCAGCCAATCCTTCAATGGTTTTCACATAAAATCACGACACTGAAATATTCTCTTTAATAATTGAATTGGTTTTCATTTACAAAGCACATAAGTCAACTATTTCTGTTAAGAATTTCGGTATATCATTTCGTTCAATTTTCCCAGGGAACTCATTAAAATCGAAATGTTCATACCAACACAATTATCAATCCAGTTAAAATGAAAATTTTGATGCAACTTGTCTAAGAAAAAAAATTAAAATCTCATTATATGTTCAGATTCGAACTTACATGTCTTTTATTTTTATTTATTCTCTTACTCATCTGAGTAGTGGACAAGAAGAGTATAAGAGTCTCTGAATGCATAATTAACAGCAACCAGAATGCGTATATTTATATAAATATATATATGATACAGAAACATAATCCTTATGTTTGGTATCGTACGCATAAAAAGCTCTCAGTGTTCGTAAACAACCCACAACGCACAGACTTTTCTTACCATTTGCAACTTAAATAAGCTTGTGTTTTCAGAACTTCCTTTGTTAGATGATGAGACCCACAATTTTCAACACTGATGACGAGAAAATTTATTCCGAAAAAATAGTATGTTTCGAAGATAATTCTTAAGATATTTTTTCGGAAACGTGACATTGATATTAAGCAGTGTGTTTCAATACTTATCGATGCTACAAAAAATCGCACACATTTTTTCGACAGTACAATTAATAGCTTTACAATTTTCACAAAAAATCTTTCAATTCTCACAAACTCGTACAGCGAATATAATAGTTTATATTTAATTACTCATCCAAGGACTCGCAATTGAAAAAATACTCATTCATCAATTAATAATGTTTATAGTTTTTCCTTTTTAATTAACAGAGATATAGGAAATAAAATTCCGGCAATTCTCATTAAAGCTTACCACTGCAATATTTATGAAAATATTTCTTTATATTTTATTAGAATTATCGCCACTCATTACGAAGTAGCGATTTGTGCAGCAATATGAAACTTTGAAGTGTTGTGCTGTCATTATGTACGAAAATCGTATAAGCATATAACCATGTTAATTGACTTTGACAATAATTTAAACAATAATGCGCATAACGATTAACACACGAAGTAACGATAGTAAACAATTGGTGAGTTTCAACGAACATGATTACAAAAGATTATAGTAGTTACAATCTTTTTTCGGTGTGATCCATTTATTTACCACTTTTGACCACATAACGGAATTTAGAATGTGCAATGAAAAATCTAACTTTCATTTAAAAACAAAGGAAAATAATTTTTAATTGTATAGAAAATTTACATGTATCTGTGATCAAATAAAATTCAATATTTATAATATTTAATCATGATAATGTCTATTGCCTTGATAGATCTGACGTCAACCTCCTTTAAATTGTTGGCCGCTGCTCCTATGCCGATGATGAAGACGTTACATTGAGAGAAATCAGGGAGAATTTGTCCGAATAATGATCCAGTTTTTGCATCGTGAGGGTCATCCTGACACCGGCTGTAGGATTTATCTGTGCAACGTACAAATAGTGTATCACTATCTGGGACAATTTGACTCATTCCTACAGTGTACTCTGTACTCCTTATTGTGTACAGTGTACAGAGTTCCGTGTAGACGGCACACACTTCGATGTGTAGTTCACTGGGCAAATCACACAGTACAAACAATGTACACAACTCACTTCTCACTGTACAATCCTGTATACAATTCACTGTGCGTAGCACTATGTACACTATAAAATGTGCCCGGTTTTCACTGTGAACGAATTATTTTTCACTATACAGTGTATATTTCGTTCGCTGCGGATGACGCATTTATCACTATCCAGTTCACTGTTTACAGTACACTGTGAACTATGCTCACTGTGCACTGAAGGTACGCTCAGTGTATGCGTATTGCCCGCAACACTGTGTGCCACGCAGCAGTTGCGCATGCACTGTACGCGCGTTCACATAATGCGCTTCTTATATACTGCGCTCGTCTCGAGTAACGTCTTCTGAGCTGCTTGCTGCTACCGTAACTCCTAACTTGGTAGTGAGTTGTAGAACGGTCGTATAAGTTCTACGATGTTCTTAAGATGTTCAATTTTTTATCATAAATTTAATTATGGTCGTTAATTTTACGATGGTTGGACATTCTACGAAAGTCGTAGTTTCTAAGTAATTCGAACGTTGTAGGATGATCGTTAATTTTACTATGGCCGTAAATTCTGCTATGTCGTAAACTCATCTATGATCGTAAGTTCTACGAATATCATACATTTCAATATTTCGCACGTTCTGCGCTGACTGTAAGTTGAACGCTCTATTAGAGTCGTAAATTCTACTTTAATCTTAGATTCAACGCTGGTTGCAAATTCTTCGCTTGTCGAAAGTTCGAAGATGACGATAAGTTTCCATGATTCAATTTACGGTTTGTAATTATTAATAGGTAACTGCGATAAATTATAATGGGCCAGCGACGTTCCTAGAAAATTAGTCGCGAGGATGACTCGAAGAAATATATATACTTGGTCACTATACAATTTGAACGACGGCTGGGCATATTTTTTCCGGGCATATCAATCATACATCCTGCGCATTCGTGATGGCTGAATGAATACTTAGCAGTGTTTTTTTTTTTTGAATACCAAGTTGAATAAATATATAAATACTTACAGAAATACTTAACACAGTTGCTAATAAAAATAACTAAGATACTCAGGACAGTTTTTTACAAAATTGCTTAAAATACTTCCAGAAATACCTATGACAGTTGCTTACAAAAATACTCGAGATATTTACTGACAGAAATATGTGCGAAAGTTACTTATGAAACACTTTCAATTGTTCATTCATACAAAGATACTTACTAACAAAAATGCTTGCGATGTTCACTAGTAACAATACGTATAAAGCTTAGTTGAAGAAATACGTATTACGTTATCATCACGTTATAAACACCCGCATATTGCAGCATATACGAACAATAATATGTATATAATATTTGGTTCGTTATCATCACACGCACGTAGCAGTATATACAAACAATAATATGTATATAATATTTGGTTCGTTATCATCGTCCGCACGCAGCAGCATATGCAAACAATAATAAATATAATATTTGGTTCGTTATCATCACACGCACGTAGCAGCATATGCAAACAATAATATATATAATATTTGGTTCGTTATCATCATACGCACGTAGCAGCATATACAAACAATAATAAATATAATATTTGATTCGTTATCATCGTCTGCACGTAGCAGCATATACAAACAATAGTCAATATAATATATAATAATGCTACCACAGCGCGCATGAGTCCGACACAACAACTGAAGTATAAAAAGCGGACGCTGCAACAGAGGAGCCGTGGGACTCCGAGACGCGCAGCTTGACAGACGCCGTGGTATGCATATTCATCAATATTTTATTCATTGATATTTTATTCGTAAATATTTTTTCATCAATATTTTATTCATCATTATTTTATTTTTCAATATTTTGTTCATCAATATTTTTTTCTTCAATATTTAATTCATCAATATCTTATTCATCACTATTTTATTCATTCATATTTTATTCCCCAATATTATTTTCTTCAATATTTTATCCATTCATATTTTATTCGTAAATGTTTTATTCGTCAATATTTTATTCATCAACATTTTATTCATCAATATTTTATTAATTCATATTTTATTCCCCAATATTTTAACCATTCATATTTTATTCATCAATATTTTATTCCCCAATATTTTATTCATCAATATTTTAACCATTCATATTTTATTCATCAATATTTTATTCAGTCAGCTTATCACGTCTTTCAGTCATCAGCATCTCGACAACCATCCAATCAGCGGCTTCTGCAAGCCATCCAATCAATACAATCAAAACTTTGTCACTAATTGAACCTGAAGTGACATGTCAATAACTCGTACGGCACCTCACACCGCGTCTCGGTAATTTAGTAAAGCCTTCAACAGTTACCTCTCAAGAGTTACCCCGTAACTTGGGGTAATTAATCTCTGTTCCTCTGATCTCAACTTGGATTTGAGATTAGTTGGAAATGCAGAAACGCAAGTCAACAAAAGATTAATAAGTATTGTTCAGAGCAATCCATTTGATATCACTGTTGATATCGAGCGTCCTACATTGTGCTATGATATGAACATAGACACGCTGCAAAGACGGTTCAAATCGGTTAATAAATAAACTGTATATTATCATTATCATTTTTAAATTTAAAAGCTTCATTACATGATTCATTAAATGTGCAGTGTGATTTTATTTTCATTAATAAATCTAAACGTGTGTCTTCAGACTTCATTGTTAAGTCGGACATTTCATGTATTTAAACGAATGTCTAAAGGCTCTTCTTTTCTTATCACACTAAACACGCAACAATAAACATGTTGCTTCTCTACATCGTTATATATGTATGGATTAATAAACTTTAAGTTTTCCATTGCCATCATATATCGATAATTTAGCGAAATTGCTATATTAATTAGTTTAAAAACTTCGGTTACCACCGTTTTATATAAACCTGTAGCTTACGTGGACTGGTAGACATTATAAGTCGCTATAAAAATGAAAAAAATCAGGACAACTAATTCATTTGTTAAAATGAATAATTTTACCTAAACTTTAGAAATTGGAACGCTAATTTTAGAAATTAACATGACTTTATTAGAACTCAAATGAAGTTGAGTACATCAGAACTCTTTCGTCGTTTGACCATAACCCTTACATATCAAACAAATGTGTCAAAAATCACTCTTGTGTCGCAGCTGACATGTATGGCAACTCATCAATGGCTTTCCTTAAATCTCATAAATGAAACGTTTTTACACGTTTTCGTAATTCCAATTAACTCTTGTGAGTACATTGAGTTTAAGGCTAACAATCAAACGCAGTCCTGAAGCCGTGATTTTACCACCAAAATTACCATGATTCCGTAATTCAAATTAACGCATGCCATAAAATTGAGTTTCATGTAAATAATCGAACGTATTACCGATGTTGAACCGTTAAATCGCAATATCGTCGATTAATGCGATTGCATAAGCCGTAGTCAATCAACCATACCACTTGAGAAATCTCAGCTGCAACGCAAACTTCTTCCAAGCGATCATCTTGAGCCGTGAAACCATTAATGCATCTTTGCCAAGGTTATTTTTACTCAGTATGCCTCGCTCGTTAATCCACATGAACGTGAATCGTTCATTCACTGCACCTCAATTTCAAGCGATGAATTTCTTAGAAACTCAACCGATGAACTCGTATTCTCCGGCGGACAAACTTGCTTTCTTCGTGTGCTTTAACTTTTTAAAACGGAAATAAGTTTTTAAAAATAAAGTAGGTTTCTAGAAACGAAACATATTTTTTTAATGATATAATTTTGTTGCCTAAGCAAAAAGAAATGCGAGCTACTTACATTTTCCTATTATTGATCCATCAAAAATTAATTAATTCGAGGTTCACAAGTGCTAATTAAGGAGCACCATCTACAGCGCTACGTATTTTTGTAAATAAATATTTATTGAGGCTAAAAGAGGACTATATCTGCACCTGGTTTAATGTCAAGAAATATCGTCAAATAAACAAATAAAAGAGCATCAATTGAAAAGTAAAAAAATTTAATCAGTGTTAGTTTTTGAAAGATAAATAAAGGTCATTTCTATCCGGCATTGGTCATAGTCCAATAAGCTGACAATAACATCCAATTAAAATCTCTGAATTCAAGTTACATTTTCATTTGTTCAATTGCTATTATTGCCTCTACCGCCGTAGCTAGGTCACTCTCCGGGAACATGACTTTTGATTTAAATTATACGAAAGCCATTGACTGCAGAAACTTGACGACGGTTCTCCGCAACAGAGAACATCTTCTACAGAGAAAAATTTCTAGTCGGTGACTACCGTACTTTTTTTGTAACCTTATTGTTTATTTGTCCTAACTTTATAACAATCCTAATAATAACAAAATATGCCATATAATATTTCAGCTTTCTGCCTGACGTTCCTTATGAGTAACACGTACATACGGTATATTATTGACTTTTGCATGACGAATGTTCCCTCAAAGGGATATGTCATATATTTTTTATATTTTTTAATGATGCAATGAAATTTGATACTTGCAATGAAATTTGATACTTGGTCTACATGATTCTATTGCATCGCAAATGACACGAAAAGAATGAAATAAAAATTATATCTTCATGACTTCGTATTTCAGGCTGTAGAGGGTTAATTTACACCGTACCCTACTCTCGTCATCAATGATCATTACGGTACCCGAGATGCAAAATCTAGTTTTTTTATAAATAAAACAGTATATACTCAAATACAAAAAAATTTTATGATCTCAGAAAACTTTTGTTCACAGGGTTAACTACAATAATCTTGAAAAGTTGAGGAACTCTCCATGCGTGATAATCATGAGCTGCGTTGGCATGCGGCATGCCATGATGAGCAATAAAATTTACCTTATTTCGGGTTTTGAATTTAAATTTATAAATTGTGAACAATAAAAATCAAGCACGGTTGGTCAACTTAACAGTGCACGACAACATTAACGAGCTTGACACGTACCGTAATCGATGCGAGTGATCGTAACGATAAATTGAGTATCTGCTCTGACACTCTCCAATAGAAGTCATAAATCTTATTGCACTAGTTTGAAAACTATTCTAGAATAAATCTTGGATCGGTTTGGAATTATTTTAGAGGCCACAAGCCACGGCCACAAGCCACAAGCCATGTGGCCACAAGCCACAAGCCATGTGGCCACAAGCCACAAGCCATGTGGCCACAAGCCACAAGCCACAAATGTCCATTGTTTATATTAATGGCGTCAATGGAGTGTAAAATCACAAGTAAAAAAATCACACGGGACTGATGCATTATTGACGGTAATCTTATTCCAATTAATAAAGTAGGAACAAACCTTTTCAAATTATATAATTCCTCATTTTACTATTTTGTTGAAGTAACTTTCTACTCCTATATTTTTTCTCTTTTATTTTTTAAATTTAATCTGATTTTCGGAAAAGTAGATAAGCTACGCAAAGTTCCGAATAAACTGTCACAACTTTATTTACGAAATTCTAGCTAAATCCCAACATACTCGCAATTCATATCAATCAAATTTTTCTATACAATTTTTCTATAAAAATTTTTTATAAAAAATTAATTTTTTCTATAAAATCGCTTGAAATTTCTGATCTTTAGAATCGGCGCAAATAGAATTATTTCATTTTTCATTATTTAAACAGGGTTAAATTTCAATGGCAGAGCAACAATAAAGCATATTGAATATGAGCTTTTTACTGTCAAAACTATTAACGCTAGAGGCAGCATCAATTTACTTTAGGATAATGTAATGCTGTCAGCTTTATTGCTTGTTCTACGATTCTAATCATTTCCGGCATTATAGTTCTTGTCCTTATTCATTTACTTATTTCTTTTTTTCGTACAGTACAATGTGGGTAGACTAAAACGTCATGCTTGATATTTACAAAACCAAATAATTTCTGTCGGTGGTGTCAGCAGCTGTAGTAGGTAAATGGTAATATACTCGAGCGGATCATATATTAATAAGTATAAATACTCTTAAATTTGTAGGAGGCCGGAATGGGTTAGCAGCCTTCGGTTGTCTAAGCCAATAGCAGCGCCAATACCAGCAGGCGGTGGTGCCATGCAGTGCCACTACTGGCACGCAGGCTGCACTGCTAGTCACATTTCTGATGCTGCGCTGATAGTGATACTATCTTTTACTGGTCGTTTAGCAGCTTAACTCAACAATTTCTTAATCTAATTGTACCATTTATTCAACAAATATTGTAGTGTAATATATTTTATTCAGCTTCAGACTCGCCTTGCATGAATAATTTAATTAATTGCCTTAATTGCATGAATAATAACATGAACTTAATAAAACATAACAATAAATTCTAACCTCATCATGCAAATATAAGCTTATTAATCCTTGAGAAACGTTTCATGAGAGCATTTTAATGCCCTAATGTAACGATGAGATCGATATTCAATCGGAAAACTTGAACCCGATTGAATAAGGAAATCTAATTTCAATAAAGTTTATAAGATCATCGTAAACAATGGAAAGATCATTACGCATCACATCATCCACGAACAATCGAATAACAAGATATTAATGTATCACATTATCCGCGAACAATAGAATAACAAGACAATAATGTATCACATCATCCACGAACAATCGAATAACATGACAATAACGTGTTACATCATAGGCGCACCATCAAATAACAATAAAATCCTCAATAAAAATCCTCATTAGCGCACAATCGAACAACAAAAACGGGATTCATCATCGGCGAAAAACCAATCAAATTTCACTGGAAGTTAAAAAGCGAAGGCAACTTCCACGCCTGCCGGGGGCAACCTGCGTTAGATCGGGCAGTGGGGACTTGCTGAGGCCTTGTAACGGATACTGTGTTTTCATCACCATCCAAGTTTCTTAGCGAAAGTGTTTGTCCAAAGTGGTTGTTAGTGGTCGCCGCCATGTCTCTGCGGGTGCCACCATCATGAGTTTCAAGTTCAACCCTCCTGGTCAGTCCGCAGGTTGCCTGCGTTGAGTGTGGACGTCGTGTCTCACTGTGCCAAGATGCGATGTTTTCGATGATGGATTCAATGGATTGGTGGCTCCAACTGAAGCGTTGCCAGTCCGCCTCATCGGGGAATGTATACTGCAGCAGCAGGCGTAGGTTGTGCTTCAGCCTCATGAACTCGTCCACTCTGACGTCAGCACAGGGCCTCATCCCAGCACCATCCAAGATAGCAATAAGCACCTGTAGATAAATAAAACTATAGGGTTTGGATATAAAGGAATTGTTTCATAAAATGAAGGTTATCATTACACTGCCATGATCTCGATGTTGAATTCATCTGAAAATGTATTTAGAGCAGCTATCTCAATCAATCGTCAGTTCTGGAAAGATCGGGTTCCAAAGGCCGGATCCCTTGTGAATCGAGTCACGAAAAGTGCAAGAATCGGCAACAGGCCATGGGCCTATTTCTTCAGTGCCGACACTTCTATTCTATTCTATTCTAAGACAAATACGAGTCCCTATCTCCACCGATGTGAATTTGATCCACTGTTATAACAGCAAAAAAAATTCACACAAACTAACAACATAATATTTCAAATATATTCAAGGGCTTGAGCTGAAAGACACAAAATTCAATGTAAAATTTGTGAATGCCAGGCAATTTTTGATGGAATCGCCAAAGTTCCCAACTATATATAATTAAATTAATTTATTTTCGGAGTACTATAGTTTTAGTCTCTGTATGCTGGGTCCTTAACACCTCGCTAAGGAGGTCTCACTGAATTGGTGTTTGCGATAATGTTAGACATAATCAACTGGAGATATTTTCGGAGCGTTATCTTGACGGTAAATCAAATAAAATATAAATGGTTTTGCCAGCTCCGAAATCGTTTTAAACCTTTTCAATAGTTACTTAGTATAAAGAATAAAAACTTTCAGCAAAAGTAGGTGTATCTTGATAATAATGTAGATAACAATAATCTAGTGGTGTCAGCTTTCATTAATTAAAGGTGGCCCGTGGCCAAGTCAGAACCACGCAGCCACTTTGTCGATTTCAACCGGAATTGGAATTTCGAAACCGATTTCGATTTCAAACGGGTTTTGAAACCCCAAGTCGCTGCTCCAAGCTCGATGATCTTAACCCCTCGGCCATCACAAGATGAAGAAAGCCGTAGGCATTTTTTCCCGTACCTGTTCGATGTTCTTGGTTGGAAATCCAAGCTGTCGCATTGTTTCTTTGCCAATCAAAAATAACATGGCAGACTCAGCCTTCCGCTTGAAATCTTCATTTGTCTGCTGCCCGTTCTGCACCATAGAGAGCACCGAATTCTTTATTTTCTCCCTCAAGTGATCCACGGATAAAGGAAGTTGCAGGCGCTGCTCGTCTCCAAGAGACTCAGGTCCAAAGATTCGTGGTAATGAATTAGGTTCAGAATCAGGAGGGATTACTTCTGGATTCAATTCATGAGGTCTACGAGTCGAAAATAAGCTGCTCTGAATATCTCTTTGAGGAATATGTCTGATTTTTCGTCTGTAATCCTCTACCGGAACTTGAACTCGATGAAAATCTGATGCTTGTGGCTTCAATCTCGATGAATGGGTCAACAAGTCTCCCATCGGTGAAGATGATGACGTAGGCCAAGAGACGTCAGTTTTGACGTCCAACTCTTGCTTCGAGGTCCACTTTTTAACGCATTTAAGCAGACTATCAGAAGAGCCATCGGCAATTTTCTTACTCTTACATGACAACTCTAAAGTCTTTTCAGAAAAGGTTTCGATTACGTCGCTGTCATCAACGATTACGACTTCAGCTGGAGGAGATTTTGGGGTAAACCTTTCCCCCCCATGCTTCGTCAGGGGAATTAGATCAGGAGGCGCGTTCTTCTTAGGCAATTTTGGAGGATTTTGGGGCTTAATATTCTTTTTTTTAGTTCTCTTTAAGCTCTTCGCATTTGATGAATCGCTAGAAGCTTTAGTTACAGAGGAATTAACTACTTCACTGCGAGAGGATGTTCCTGAGAGATTTAGAGGACTTGAATCTAGGTCTAGAGATGCACTCAGATCTAAAGGACTATAATTAGTTGTCTGAAAAGAAGCATGCCCAAAATTTTCTGAATTACTTGATAGCTGTGAGTCAATTCTGAGAGTCACTTGATCAACATCTGAACTTAGGTTAGGTGAACTCCTAGAACTAACAGAGTTTTCCATGCTGGAATTCTGACCTTCAACAGAGGGTAATCCGGTAGAGTCAGCGTAACTTTCAGCTCCATTCGAAGTACCAGCGCTTATCCGAGAGATGTCAATGTTATAAGAAGCGGCATTTGAGTTACTGCTGCCTCCAGTACCGGCTAGTGTTGATCCTGTTTCGTTTAAATTCGCTGAAGATATTCCTATGGCACCCACATCGATAGTTGACAATTCAAATGAAGGACTCTCGTTCTCAGACACTTCAATACTCATGCTGAAGCTCTCCATGGTTTGGCAAGAGGCCATAGGCTGTGGATCAGGATCAGGCACAATGCTGATTGAATCATCGCAGAGAGAGCCGATTGTTTCGACATTGCTTTCATCCCATTCGTCAGGTTTCTCTACCTCAGTTGGATGCTCTTCGATGGTATGTTTTACAAGGTCACTCTCTTCTTTGAAGACCTCTCCACAAGGAATACAACGGACGCCATTTTCCACTTGATGACCTCGCAAATGTCGGGCCAAGTTTCCAGAGTGTTCGAAGGGCCTCGTGCAAAGACGGCACGAATATGGTCGCTCTTTCGTGTGGATTCTCCTATGAACCACCAAGTTTGCGTAGGCCGCAAAACCTTTCTGACAGTATTGGCATTGGAAAGGTTTTTCTCCAGTGTGAGTCCTAGAATGAATCTTGAGCACTTTTGCACACGTGAAACCTTTATTGCACTGGCCACAAACATACGGACGCTCTCCAGTATGCTTCCGAACATGAATGACCAGTTGGCCGTGCTGCGAGAACTTTTTAGCGCAGTGAGGGCAATGGTAAGGTTGCTCCCGAGTATGAACACGCATGTGGGTGTTGCAGTTTCCTTTAGAAGCAAAACCTTTGCCGCAGAACTGGCATAGGAAAGGGCGGTCTCCTGTGTGGATTTTGTAATGGGCTTGCAGACGAGACGGCCTGTCGAACTGACGGAGACATACATCGCAGCGGTGCTCCGGGGCGCCCTTGGAACTCTGAAATCAAAATTTTGAAATCAAAATCCAGTACGAAAAATTAAGGAGCAAATTAGTATGAGAAAACTTGAAAGAGTGAGATCGGAATATTGCATTGTTTATCTCGTTATTGTTTAATATTATAAATAATATGGTCAGTTTGATATTAATATTGTTTTTTGTATCATAGCAAGCTCGTAAAGGAGAAGGTCATGAATGTTAATTTCCATATTATGGACTTGATACTAAGTGCATAAAAATACGGTTCCTCGATTTTAAAATAGTGAATAATAAATAATATAAACAAATTTCAGAAATCCTTCGTTTAGCAAGCTTCATCTGGAATTTGCATACCCTATCTACAGATATTATAAAACTTGAAATTTTATAGTTTTAGAGTATTGTTCATGTACTACAACTTTACGATAAGCATTTCTATGCGCACACTTTTCCATTCACTCAACTCTTAGACTAGAAACAAAGAAAATATACCCTGGCATTTCCAGAGAAATTATACCCAGGTATATCTATATAAAATATCCGGTCCTCTCCAGAGGAAGAATCCCCTGGTATCAGCAGGGGAAATATTTTTAAACATACTCTAGTTAAATCCATTTGATATAGCTCTTAGTTTTTATGGAAGGAATAACCCTAGTCTCCCCGAAGGGAAATGTCGCTTGGTCTCTGGAGAGGATCCAGCATTGGTTTACTCATAAGAATTATTGCCTATTATACCCATGGGGGAATACGGGATACCTAGTATACGGGAAATATCCCGTGTTATCTTTAAAGAAGAAATCCGGAGATCGCTATTAAAAGTTAAAAGTCAGTCTTAGATCACGAAATCGAAATGTTCACCTCGAGCAGAGCGGCGTAGATTCTACACAAATATTTTCCCAGAGGGTTGACAGCTCAACATCAAAATCTCCAGCTGACCTTCAGTCTTAGCCTGCCATTCTTTGCTTTCAATTATTTAGTTAGGGCCATAAATACAACTATCGATTAGCTCAAGAATTGTTGTGACAGTAGCTTGAGATTATTACTTGATGAGCGTTGAAGTTACACTCGAGAAATGGACGACTTTGTCCAAATGGCGATGTACTTTTACCTATGTGTGAGTCACCCTGACCCAGATTGGTTCGGCAAAAATGACGTATCAGTGCTACGTCCGCTCTAATCACGCTGTGGGTATGAAAGTGTGTCACTATTTGGACAGTATCACACACAATAATAACACATCAATAATTTGTTATTGTTTATACATATGATCATTAACATTAATTACATAACGATTGCTCTTTATTTCAAATCATAATACGCTGAGCAAAAATAATCGGAATAGATCGAACTATATTTAGATCGTTTCCACCATTCCAGCTAGTATTTGAAACAATAGCAATGGCCATCCTTATTACTGCAACTCTGCAACCAATCAGTATCTTATTACAATGCAGTAAGCGTAAAAGCCACAAGGATAGTAGAATTTTACCAAAGACTGAAAGACACGAGTCAATTCTGGAATAAATATACCGTAGCCTCAGCAGGGTGGAATGATATGAAAGAAATGGCGTTTAGCCGGTATACATGGATCTGGTCCAGAAATACAGGATTATTCTAAATGATGGACCCAATTCAACAGATTCGTATCTATTTAGGCATAAATTCCAAATGGATAATTTATACATCAATTAAAATAGAAAGATTAAAAATTTCTGCTAAGTATTTATAGATGTTCAATGTCCCTCTTGCGTTGCACGGCAAACATATAAAGCCCCGTCCACAAGCTCAAACTTATCGTCAGTCTTGCATGTCATGCCAGGATTGACCGACAAGACGTCAAAGTTTGACGTCTTGCATGACGTGTGGGCGGAGTTTGAGGTTTGACAAACCTGGAAAAGACGGACGGGCGAGACCATCGGGTCCATGCAAGACTGACGATAAGTTTGAGCGTGTGGACGGGCAACAGACTAATTGGTCAAACTTCTACTCTATCTCAGTCTATATTGATGTTAGCTCAAGTTTTTCATATCTCATGATATCCGACACTGGTTGCAATATTTCTCTTGGTGAGTTAATGGAGTTATATCGTAGTTGCCCTTATTTGTGGCAAATTTAATAAAAAAGCAACAGTGACAAGAACAAGCGAGCACTGGCCTATGCGGCATTGATTGCTAAGTGCAAAGAAGTTGATCCAACAGCAAACAAAGACTTTGTAACGAAGAAAATAAACCCTTTATCGTAAAGAATGTGTCAAAATAAAGTCGCCAATGCGGCCTGGTGCTGGTAGGGATGCTGGTAGCTATAGGGATCAACCCTCATCGTGGCATTTTTTAAAACCATTTTCAGGACGACCGCGTACATTTGCATCGCGTTACCTTATTTTGGTGGCACAAACTGCGATCACTGCTGACACTGCAGCCAGCAACACTAGCTCCTACATTGCCGAGAGCGCACTAAACTGAAGGAAAGTTTGAATAGTGTGGACGCTCGTCAGTCTTCCGTCTTGTCGGTCAAAATTTGGCATGAGCACGACTGACGATAAGTTTGAGCGTGTGGACTGGGCTTAAACGGTAGCCAAACTCGTCCTACACACGAGAAAGCATAACTTATGTTACTGTGAGCACCGAGCACTGACGGTTCTTCAGATCAACCGGAGTTGCTGGTAGAGGCGGGACGTAAACAGAGTTGCTGGTTAGTTCCGAAAAGCATATCTCTATTTATGGGACGTAAGCAGAGTTGCTATTAGAGGCGGGACATAACCAGCTTCCTTGACGTAACCCCATAAGAAATAGTCACACGGGGTGAGGTGATCTCGGTCGCCATGCAGAAGTATAGAGCCAGATCTTCATTTCCTAAGCGTCCAACTCAGCACTCAGGAAGTGACCGATTGTCACTTCTTAAAGGGACAAGAGGGACGAACATATCGAACATTTATAAATATCACAAAAGCTTTGCATTTTTCTCTGTTCATTGCTGTACTAATTATTTATTATCAATTTATACTTGAATAAATACGAATTTACCAAATTGAGTCCATCATTTAGATTTTAGAATAACACTGTATTTCATTAGAATAACACTGTATTTCATTCCCGGGCCACATACCGTCAATGACTGAAAAACTTTGCACCTGATTCTAGTAAACCCGTAAATCAAATAAGTAAACTGCAGACGCATCCGACGCTTGGAATAACGTTGATTACACATATTCAATTTGTAATCTAAGTGGTTGCAACGTCATTTGCCAGGAGAGTAAAACCCAATATGATTTTGTTAACTACAGATATGTGCGCATACCTACATACCGTACATGTTTCCATAACTCCAGATATGTTCTACTACAGATACCTACGTTTCTATAACTCCAGATATGTTCTACTACAGATACCTACGTTTCCATAACTCCTGATATGTTCTCATAACTACAGATAAGTTTCCATAACTCCAGGTATGTTCGCAAAATTACAAATATGTTCTTAGTAAGTTTGAGGTTTGCCCGGACGATCAGGTCCAACAGATATCTGCTAGGGTCTGGACTGAACGCAAGAGTCAGCAGAGGCGGGCGCTGACAATATGCTACATAGACGTGCTTCCGCAGCCACAGCGTACGTCGACCTCAAGAAACCACGATTTATCGCCTCCGTATTCTTTATATAACCGCTATGCATTTGCTATAATAATACTAATCTTTTATGCAACTTGGAAATGTATGACTGACCATTTTTTCCGGTTGTAGGAAAAGTTATGACCGGACTCTCCTGGCAGCAACGCGCGCAACACACACACAACCTACACCGCAGTTGCCAGCGCACTGCGACTCTGCGTCTGCGAGTTCAACTGTGCAACCGAACGATGCCAAGCATCATTTGCTTACCGCCTTGCGCAGCTGATGTAGGATTTCTAAAGTGGTCATTTATCCACTATTTAGTCATTCACTATTATAGACAATTACTAATTTCAAAACTCAGCTTTGTGGGAAACCTCAAAGAACGAATGATCGCAACGAGGGAGCCCGACAGCGGCGACCAACTCGCAGGGATTTTGTTATGACATCTTACGGCAAACGGCATCACAAAAATTTGCGAATTCTAGGCTAGCCTCTTGCAACAATCCTCGTATCTAGTGTTTCCAGTTGTTATATATAGCGTTTTTTTGGAAGACATTCGCTTTATTGCTGCACCAAAGCACCAAAAAAAGTCCAAACCTCACAAACTACGTGTTTTACTACTACTAACTACACGTACACAAAAGCGCCAACTCGCAAACTACGTGTTTTACTGCTACTAACTACACCTACACATAAGCGCCTAACTTGCAAACTACGTGTTTTACTGCTACTAACTACACCTACACATAAGCGCCTAACTTGCAAAATACGTGTTTTACTACTAATAACTACACGTACACAAAAGCGCCAACTCGCAAGCTACGTGTTTTACTACTGCCAACTACACGTACACAAAAGGGCTCAATTCACAAACTACACAGTGGTGGGTAGTAGCGCGCTACATGTAGCGGCCGCTACATTTTCAGTAGCGTTAGCGGTAACGGCGCTACATTTAAGGCAATGTAGCGGCAGCGGTAGCGCCCGCTACATATTTAAGTAGCGATATGAGGTTTTGCCGCTACAGCGCTACCGCTACATTTATAGTTAAAGCCTTTAGATTTTACTTAATAGTATTAATTATTTATAAACCAGCATGATACATACATAATATAAATTACAGAATAAAACTGTGCGAAAGATTTCGGTGTAATGTTGTCAACCTCAGCCTGTTACTAGTGTCAACATGTTAGTTGTTACTTGTTAAGTTGTTACCAGTTACCACTTACCGATATTTTTCATGTTTCAGTTTGCTTACAGTTATTTTACACAGTTATTTTTATGTTTCACCTTCCCTACATGGATGTCTACTTTAACCTACTAATCTCAAAAATAATCCATATATATATACAAATAAAAGACTGATTTTTTTATTAGTATATGTGGATAATTTTTGAGATTGGTAGATTAAAGTAGACATCCATGTAGGGAAGGTAAAACATAAAAATAACTGTAACTTTTATTTACTGTATCTAACCCGTACTAGTTCGGTTAGGTTAATTGCAATAAAGTCGCATTGATATGTTTTGAAAATGTTTTATTATCATTAAATGTTTATGAGTAAATACCAATAGCAGAACAATAAATATTTAGAGATTTCCAATAATTTTGGCCATTGTAGCGGCTAATGTAGTGGCGCTACATTTTACTGTAGCGGTAGTGGTAGCGCTCGCTACAATCTAGTAGGTGTAGCGGTAGCGCCCGCTACATTTAGAGCATGTAGCGATAGCGGTAGCGGCGCTACATTTCAAAGTAGCGCTGCCCTGCTCTGAAACTACGTTACATTCTGCTACGGCACTCGTTTGCAGCACATCCATATTAAGTTCAAGGTCAACCTTCTAAGTCACTAATGAGGAGCAAGTGATACATCGTTTAATTACAACGAATTTGCGTCCCTTGACAGCGACTAACAGTTATTTTTTCAATACCTCTCGATCCATCAGGTCAGAGTTCTAAACATCGCACTGTGGATTCGAAGCTAAAAAATATCTTGAGATATAAATTAAAACTAAAAACTCTCTCAAATGGCGCAGGCAAATTAAATTCATGTGGGTGATGAGTAATATCGAATTCTAAGGTCGGTGAATAACGACGATTGTTGAATCTGCGACAAACTCTGCATAATTTTGCGGGTAGGTTTTTCCGTCGGAAAAAAACTCCTTATACCTTTAGGATATCTTATTGGATGTAAAGATCTTTAATATTTTTATCTTCGATTCAAGATATAAATATTTGCGGGAATTACGACGCCGTACTTAAAAATTTTAAACTTGAAAAATCCACTATTGTCAATCGTTTCCCTCCGTTTGTTTTAATTTGTTATCTCTCTCTCCCGTGCTCGCAATTCATCTCAAATTTGTCGATTTCATTTTCAACAGTATTTTCAACTCCCTCTTTCCACATACTCTTTGCTATGGAAAACTGTTCGTTCTGGGAATGGAAGAAGTCAGCGCCAAAGACTAACACCAAATTAAAAGCGTCTGGTTGAAAAAAAAAATAATAATTGTAAAACTAAATAATAACGTCGTCAACGGTTACAAAATCTTGCAAAACCTGGGCCCAGCGATACAGAAACAAGGCCGTTTAAATCGTTCTTTATTAAAAGTAAAATGCATACAAGGTTCACGAATCAATGCTCACCTTCAACTGAACAAAATCAACGGCATAGACAATTATAAATTAAAAGCCAAATTGCGCCAAATCCATAAAAATCATAAAATAGTTCCATAATACGTATCGAATCAGAGGTCCACCATTTTTATGTATCATATTATCGCTAAGTAGGGACGTGCAATAAGTTATGATCTTCACGTCATTTGTGAGACAAGTCTTTGCCAAACCTTAGTAGCCAAAGCAACATTCAAATTAAATAAATTGAAACTCATACTACATTCTAAATAAATCTTTTTGCAAATTACTTAATGAAAACGTCATCCTCAGTCGTGGTGCCCATGATTTACTTTAAATACCTACATGCAATCAGCTTTCAACTTTCAATTCATTAAATATTATAAATCTATTATTAAATTGCAAGTAAATCAATCACAAGCACACAGGAGTATAGATACAACCTCGATTTCGAGTTGAAGAAAACATACGAGCATTGCAATCACTGTCATCAGGCAACGAATGCCACAGAAAAAACGCATGTTTGAGTGAAAAATTGTTTTGTGTTACATATTTTAGCCTAAATCAAAAGTCGCGTTGGGATAACATTGATGAAAGGTAAAATAGGAGATGCACAGGCAAGTATATCGGTAAATCAAATTCTCTTTAAAAGGTCGGAAAATAAAATTTATCTCACAGTCAAAATGACTGAAATATTAGGGCATTGGACACAAAATTTACTGCAAGAGGAAGTCACGAAAATAAAATATGATATTTTCAACCCCAATAATGTCGAAAAAGTATCGATTGTCATAAATTTTTGAGTACCAGAAATGTGTGAATATAAAACACAGGAAAGACCTTTTGAATAAAAAAAATTATATAAAAAATATAATATTGTATGAAAAAAATAAACGAATGAAGGAGGGGTGAGTTGAGCAGCTCCAGTGCGGAGTTCAGAAGTACACGAGTACAATGGTGGGGCGGTCATCAAGAAATCCTTCTGGAATTCATATCCTCACAGCAATACAGGACGAATTTTTAAATAAAGAAAAGCGTTATTATATATTGGAGAATAAAACTGCCTCACAAAGCTGGAGAACACAACTGCATCACTTAAATGTTGCCTATTAACCTTTACTGATCTAATGAATAGGTAAACTCTAGAAGACCGATCATAATGATATCAAGCATTTTCAGCACTTTATTATTTAATATGATATAAAATCAGCCTGCTTATGAAACAATAAAATTATGAAACACGAAGGTGTTGATAGTTTGAAAAAATAATCTACAAAAGAGAGGGAAAACCTTCAATAAACCGCACACATTACAGCCCACATTCTTATGTAATAAATACAATAGTATCAAATGGCAGTTCATAAGAGCCATTTTCATATGGAAGGAGTGGACAACACTAGCAGTACATGGCAGAATATAAATATATACAAAATTACAAATATTTTTGGCATTTGATTCACTCTTTAAGTCCATCCTTCTTGAATAACGCCCACAGGAAATTGTCCTCTAACTATCTATATATAATATTATTTACACAAAAATCTTATTTTTGTTAATAAGTTGTCAGTTGCAAACCTCATTTCCCATAGCAGTTACTTATTTCTTACTACTACCAAAAAATATTTTTCACAACACAGAGCAAATATTGAGGACTTTATTAAAATGTATATGCAATATCATACAAAGGAAAATAAGAGAATAAAGTGAATAAAAAATTATAAAGTCCGGGAAGAATTTCATCACGCACAGACAAGTACACATACTTAATTACCCAGGTAATCATGGGCATTATGCAAATAAATCGGATAAGAAACATCAGGATATTAAGAAACCTTCCAAAAGTCACCTTTTGTAGCAAGTACCGGTAGCCACTATGGAGGCAGTCATTGAATGATTCTGAATAACCTGAGATCAAGGATAGTAGAAATACAGTTCATTCATTGCAAAATTTTAGTTTTTAGCGCATTTTATCATTTATGAAACAAAGACTCAATTGTTTAATATCAATCTTCATAAAATTGAGAGAAAACTTCAGGGTTCCATTAACATTCCATTCATTCATTTGTTGCCACAGTACATAATAAGAAGACTCGCATTAAGAAATTTCCTAATTATGAACTGGTGACACACAAGAAAACAAAATAATAACATTGCGATGCTTTAATACAATCAATTGTGAGAGTACTGTGAAAGAAGGTGCATGGATTATTTGAAATGAAAATATCATTTAATAACCTCCTGGGAATGATATGTAACATGTGCTTCAATTTTGGTATGCAAAAATAACTTATACCAGACAAATCAAGACAAGTTTTCATGTAATGTCTTGACCTTATAATCACAAAGCAACACTCAGAAAAATAATTAGGTCATATAGTCCAGATAGCCGCTCATTTTCTTACCGAAAACAATGGCGGAGAGCAGGCATAGACATGCCCTTTTGTCAGGCTGAACTGAGTCAGAATGTCCCACATAAACAAAAAGTACATCACTGTTGGGACCAAAATTCACTATTTCTCCCATCACAAACATATAAAAAATTGAAGACATTATAAGACCACACAGGAGCAATGGCATGCAGGGTATCAGTGGTCGCTCTCCATGACGTGCTTTACTCTCTTGAGGGCCACGAAGCTTTGCTTGGAGGAGAGGTGGTGGTAGCCGACAGGTCCTTTATCACAATTTGCGCACACCAAATATTTCTTGCCATCCACTGTATTTGAGAAGCCAATGTTCTCAAATGTGAACATGTCTTCCACCATCCACCAGTCATTCAACTGAAACATGTTCAAAAAAGCATAAATTAACAGCACACTGAGGGTAAATTTTGTACTTTACCTTCAATACATAACCAAAGTAAAAGGTTATCAAAGAAAAAATATTGAAATCATCTAAATAATGATTAATAATCATCAATTTTAAAAATACAATTATGTACTATAGAAATTGTAAATAACTTTTGGCTAATATTTAGTTACAGGTATTGTCTATACCATAATATAAACTAGCTTATAATGTGAGAAACAAAACAAAATATATGATATCAAGTTCTGCGGAAGAAAATAATAAATCCTCACCCACCTCTTCTGTTTGTGGATCATCCTTCTTCTGTGTGGGGGTGGGAAGGCAGAGCTGCTGCGCTGTGTGTGAGGCAGCGTTGGGGTTAAGGATCGTTGTGTCACAGTAGAGGCACAGGATGGCTGGAATATTTCTGCCATCTGCACTAACTTTCTGTCCAGTCTCATAATCAGAGGATGCCATCACAGATGATGATAATTAAACAAGGCAATGAATTAAGCTCCTGTCTGTAGTTTTAAACAGGACAAATTATGGTTTCTATATAAAGTTATTTAGACCTACAATACAACTTATCCAGCCTAAAATTTCATGAGGTAGTCTTACACTGTTACAGGAGAGAACATGAAAATTATGCAAGAAAAAAAACTGTGTGGTAATAGTATTTTGTATTTTAGTAAATGGTTTCCAGTAAAAGTGACAATTATCTTTCAAAATTAAGGATGAAGCATTAAAAATAGCTAGCACTCCTGGTTCATCTTTCTGTTTACATGATCCTTCTTTCTACTTTCCATATTGCTTTTCCTTGCATAAGGCTCATGAAATGAAAAGTTTCTATGGCCAGAGTTGTGAGTAGGAGGGCCACCAAAGCTCTTGGAATCTTCATTTTTCTGCTGCATGATTGGTTTCCGCCAGGGTCTGTCCACACAACCAAATCTGAGCTGACCAGCTTCTTTGCGGCCACCCCAACCCCCTCCTAAGCGCCTTGGGATCCATCCCTTCAGTGACCTTCCCACCTCTCTGTCAAGCAGCGCTTTTTTACCATCAAAAGACAGACCCTTACAATTGTGCAGCACTTTTTCAACATCCCCAGAATGCTTCAGCTCCACAAACGCATAACCTTTGCCCAAGCCAGTTATGATGTCTTTAACAACTTTAACACTTCTAACAGATGCCACTTTAGATATTGCAGCAAAAATTTCATCTTCCAAGATAGTTAAAGGGAGTCGGCCTACAAATATTGTGCAAGAAGGTTTACTCTTGATGTGTTTGGGAGGCACATGCTTTGCTTCCAGAGCTCGACACACAGCTCGGTCATGGGGTCGAGTGTCAGAGCAATCAATGCTACCAGCTTTCAAAGGATCATACTCATCAGTTGCAATTGATTGTGAAAAAGTAGGTTTCTTATCCATCATATAAATTGAAAAACCTGCTGTTTAAATTTTGGGAAGCCAAGAAGTATTTGATTCACCTGAGAAATTACAAATACACAATAAATGAATTGCAGTAACATTGAATTAATGTGTCAAATAAATCTATCTAAGCAGCATTCAGTTTAGACATCAAATTTATAGGCAAATAAATACAATGACTACAAAAATTGATGGATTAAGAGTTTCAACTATATCAAAATTCTAGGTACATTACATCAAAGTTTAATTTTGCAACAAATTTATTGCAATGAAGGAAAAAGTGGTAGGTGCTGGGTAAAAATCTTCAATCCCCAATATTTAGAGCCAAAAGAACACTGCCAAGCAGTGCGTACAATGATGCATATGCAATGCTTATCCCAAGCTTTTCCAAAGCAGCCTTACTGGCTTAGAGCTGGCTTTGCTATGAACTTTGCAGCATGGAAAAATCATTTGAAGCCAATTCAATATGGAATATTGGGCAGATGTTTTCTAGAATTGATGATAAAAATTAAGGTTTAATGTGCAATTTTCTAAAATTGCAGGTAAAAATATGCCATTTTTCTCATTTTTTCACAGATAAATTTGGAAAAGGTCATAGGAATGGGTAGGATTGGCCAGATTCACAGGCATTTATTTGATTCACAGGTGGCTTCTGGCCAATTTTACACTAAGGAAGCCAATGCACTTTGAGGCAGCAAAAACATCTGGCCATGGACCAAGCTTTCTGAAAAAAGCTTTTATTTCTTGTAAAACAGCAAAATTGAAACTTACAGTGAGTTACATTATTATATTAATTGGAAGGGTGGTCATAATTCAAGTGTAAGTCTGTGAGGTAGAGGCTTTACCTCAATGTCCTTGCATTCCAAAAGGAGCTTTATTATGAAGCTCCCAGGCCCCAGAGACCAGCCTATAATTAAATTATGGAATTGGATAAACAATTACAGGCAAATGAATTGAATCAGGCTTACATCAAATTGAATCAATAGCTAATGATTCACATTGATCATGCCTGCATACTTTATTATCCAAATAATCAAAGCTTAATGCTGGTATTGTAAAAAATTATTGCTCAACTACCTAAATATTAGAACATGTTAGAACAGGCTGGAGAGTTATCAGTATAAGTCTGCCTGGCCGGCATTTAGAAATCTAATGAATAATGATTTATACACAAATTAGGCATACTCACACAAGCAAACAGTCAATCCAAACAAAAAACAACATGTCTCCCACTCACTCAAATATGCAATGTTAATTAAAATTTTCATGAAATATTTCTGAAAAATTACATTACTATTCCAGACTAATTCTGAATACTGGTTATTTGGTACAGCCTGAACAGGCACAGATGCTGAGACACAAAGGTGTGCTACAATCTCATTTAACATGCCAATTTTATTGTATCTAGTATAGACACGATAACAGTATTTTATTAAGTCTAATATGAATTTTAAATTGAATGAGAATGAGAACATTGAATGGCATGAAAATCAATTTTCATCAACAAAACATTATAATTAAACTCAAACTGAATGCCTGCACCACAGCAATCTTAATGTTGTCTGCTTGTAGGTGGAGAAGTAGCCACACTATGGCTGCTTATTACACCTAGACTCAGCAAAATTTACTTGGGAAGTTTCAGTATTGCTTCACTGATTTTTGGAGATTTTACCAGGTGGACTTTCAGCTTTAGATCAGAGCTCAAACCAAGATGGTATTTGCAAGAAGCCAGGCCTTTGGTTTGTGTTAAATAGGTTATTGTTGCTCTTATTATTGCATGTAAAATATTTCTGTAAAAAGTTGCTGCCAAGAAGTATCCAAACAGATAAATGCAGGATGCCAGGACCCCAAAGCCCAAGGTTTGACACTTGACTCACTCTTGAGTACCGACTACCGAGTTGGGAAAAGTCCTCCTTTTATCTGAAATATTGCAGCTCAAATATCATATAATTTCAGTAGGTATGAAGGCTCATGGCTCTAATGCCATGTATTTTTGTTTGATTGAAAAAATCATGGTTTGAACTTTGCAGACATGTTGTTTCATAAAAATTTTCTACTTCCCCAATCCTGCAGAACGTTATGATAACAAGTCAACCCAAAACATTTTGTTATAGATCACATAGTTGCGGTCACATCAGAGCAATCCAACAGCACTATCACATGCTCAGTTGCCAATAAAGTAAAGACAAATATTATTGTTGCTGTTGGACTGTTTTTAGGATAAAATTTTAGATTTGGGCCTTGGGGTAACACGTGCACAGGACTTTGTAAATAAGTTTGCAGCTCATAAATGGCTTTTCATGGCAAAGATATGGAATTCACAGCTCAAAGAAATGGAATCATGGCTAGCAAATCCATAAAACCATGGCTTAAAAATTCCAGTTGTGGCTCACCAAGTAAATATATTCCATGCCTGTTGAGTACTATACTACTATTGATCAGCAGTCAGCACCCAAAGCAGGATTGGAATTTTCCTATTTGTTTCTGAAATCTCACGGCTCTAACATGACAAATTTTCAATACATTTGGAATCTTGCGGCTCTATCATGCACTTTTGTTAACAATTGGATAGGAGGTAATTCATCTGGCAGAAATCTCGGCTCTCGCGGTTTCGGAAATGACGAGAAACCTCTAGTCGCAGCCCTAAAGGCAGATGTTTTCCATGCAGCGTGGAAAGCTCAGCGTCAAGCATGGACCATGCTTGACCCAAAGTGGGTGAATATCAATAGATATTTGCAGAAAGTGGGTGAATATCAATAGATATTTGGCAATGCATCAGCAGCAAAATTAATGCCTTCTGAAGATCTTGGCAACACATTTGAATTTAAATTAGAACATTTTAAAGATTACTTTGAAATCACTGCAAATCTGAAAGACCGCAAGCGTACACAGTAAAGTTTCTGATATGCTGCGGATGCAATGAAACTTGTCCTGAAATCAGTTGTGATGTGTGCAAGTGTTGTGGTGCGTGGAGACTGGAGAGTAAAGGATAGCCTATCTAAGTTGCTTGCAACACTTTCTTATTAAAACATTACCCAGCGATAGATCTTAAAAATGGCTAGCAATGCTTTGGCTAAAAATTTATATCTTTGCAATGCTGCTTGGGTGCTTGCACCCTCTAAACCCACAACCCAGGGCTGGATAAGTCCAATTTTTCTGAAATGTCACGGCTCTAATATCATATAATTTCAGAAGGTATGAAATCTAGTGGCTTGAATGTAATAAATTTTTGTTTTATTGAAAATTGCAGTTTGCACTTTGCAACCATGTCATTTCATAAAATTCTCAACTTCTGCAATTTGCATTACTTTACAGTTCCCACCAATATATCCTGCAGAACAATCATTGTACCATCAAGGCGTCAAGCCGTTAACCAGGGCAACTCAGGACGATTTTGAACGGTTTTCATTCATAACTTCTTACTATGAAACATTTCATAAACAAGTTTAGGCTCATTTCAAAGCTCTTTGCAAAGGCTATCACATTGCTTCTCCAAAAACATTCCATATGCTATTTGTAAGGTGCCAGAAGCAAAAAAAAGAGTGTCCTGAGTAGCCCCGTCGAATGGGGCTTCTCGGGACACTTGGAATAAAATTTCATTTTAAAACATTTGAAGCATGCAGAGTGTACTCATACATTACTAACAGTATTGTCTCGATTCAGAATAGACTGACTTCCTGAATTAAAAACCTGAAACACGACAGAATCTCTTTTTTTATTGCTTCTGAAATAAGTGCTCTGGACTGTCTGAAAGCAGGTCCTGGTGAATTTTCTCTCGGGGGCGAAGGCATCAGGATCGACAGTCGCGACTAGCAATGGCTGGGAACACAACACGAGTGATTTAACTGATATCATGTGTTGCTGCCACAGGCACAAGAAGAGGCCGGTGTCATCACTGTCATGTTATCAGGCAGCAGAAAGTGCCAACCATGGAACACGAGAATAGTGACAGTGTGGATTTGGTTATCTTTTAATTGCACTGAAAAAAAAACAGCTTTAAATTTTAGCTAATAAGGTTAAATGAAGTTACAAAATAGGAATATTTTTTCAACGAGCTTGGGGATTTAATAAAGAAAAGTAATTAAGACGTTCACAAGAATTGATAGTGCGAGTTATTGCAATGCAATGCAAGGCCTTGTCTTCTTTGGTGAGTTATCGGTGTGCTGCGCGTTTCAACGGGACGACTGAAATAACCCAGCATTGCCCAATTTCAGCATAAATTTCATACTTCACCCCGTGCGCAAGCATGCTGCAGAGCAAATTAGCCAACATGATTACTTGCTGAAAGCCACAGCCTCACAGGGACTATATTCCTTCATGGATGTAAACCAGCGAGCCAATGACCTGCAAGCCGCCAAAACAATGGTCGTAACCCACACGCTAAACCCCGAAATATTTCTATTCCATGCAGCCTAGCCCCTTCCCCACTTTCGATAAAGAACGCCCTGCGCCACACTGCCACCTCTCCAGTCTGTCTGTTCTTCTGGAGGCTAAACCTCCACACTTACCCCCTGCTCCCCCTCCTTTCGGTCCCAGCTTGCGGAAGAAGTTTAACCAAACATAACCTAACCTAACCTAACCCCTTCGCGGTATCGCGGAGAGGTGGAGAGAATGGGGTAAGTGTGGAGGTAGAAGATGCTGGTGAACGTTAGGGCTGGGCTTACGCCTGCGAAGTGGGAAAGGTGATGCGACAGTCCGGTGCGGGGCCGTTCCCATTTACGGCAGTCTGGTGCGGTCTGCGGACCCTGTGGCTTACGGCATTTGTAAGAAGTGATGGTATGGGCTTAAAT